GCCCAAATGACCTGAATTTGGGTACATCCCAGCGAATTCAGTCTAGAAACAAGTACATGAAATTTGGAGAAAATCGGTTCAGATATAGCTATATCTCCCATATATATGTTTCATTCGATTTGGGGGTTCTAGGTCCCTCACATGCATAATATGCACTCCACAACAATGATATTTGATACCAGATATCAGATACAGCTTAGAAATAAGTGCATAAAATTTTGTCAGGATCGGTTCAGATTTGGGGATATAGCTCCCATATATACCTTCAACCGATTTCGGGTTAATTGTCCACTAAATGGCCAATATCAGTTCAAAAGTCTTGAATTTTGGTACATCCGACCATATTCAGTCTAGAAGCAAGTACATTAAATTTGGTGTAAATCGGATCTGATATAGCTATAGCTTCCATATATATGTTTCATTCGATTTGGGGGTTTTAGGTCCCTCACATGGGTAATATGCACACCACAACAATGATATTTGATACCGGGCATCAGATACTGCTCCTAAATACCTCTGCCCAATTTTTATCGAGATCGGATGAGATTTGGATATAGCTTCTACATATACCTTCAACCGATTTCGGCTTAATTGTGCACCAAATATCCAATATCAGCCAAAAATACCTGAATTTTGGCTTATCCAACCGAATTTTGTCCAGAAGCAAGTATATCAAATATGGAGAAAATCGGTTCAGATATAGCTTCCATATACAGGGTGAGATAAAAAAACTGCACCAAAGTCAAACGCCATAATTTTTTTTTTATTTCATTGAATAAAAGCAAAAAAAATGTCGGAAATTTTAGAATAAGTTTAGATTTGTTCGAATTGGTCATCTGTGGCACGAATTATGGCCTTGAAACCGTCTCACGCTGCCCGAATGTTGCTCTGTGGTATTTTGGCCCATTCCCGGCGAAGCGCTTGCTTGAGGTGATTCGTATTTTTTAGTGACAACCTTGCTTTCCAAAATACTCCAGACACGATAGTCCAACGGATTGGTATCCAGAGATTTTGGTGGCCATTTTGCGTTGGAAATGAAGCGAGGAAACTCATTTTGTAACTATTCTTGGGTGGCACGTGCTGAGTGCCATGGTGCTGTTGGAATGTCCAATGTCTGCGGCCAAAATGTTTGCCTGTCCAAGGCTTTAATACACCCTCCAGAATATTTTCGCAATAATATTCGGCATTTATTCTGATGTCACGGTCGATGAATACGAGCGGAGAGAGACCATCGGCTGTTATGGCGGCCCACACCATTACCATGGCCGGCGCTTGAGTTCTGGTGGCCACCACCAATCGAAGGTGCACATTTTCAGCAAGTAAACACGATTATTTTGTTTGTTTACAAACTGCTGGACGACAGCGAATGTTTCCTCATCGGAGAAAACCAAATTCGGCAGTTCACCACTTTCGGCCAAGCGAAGCAACTCTTTAGCTCTTTTGAGTTCTTGCACTTTTTGGAAACCTCCCTCATAAAGGGTCAACAGTTTGAATAATCATAACTCAAGGCTGGGGATATACATCTGTAGATAAAACCGACTAATACTATTTTACTTGTTTAGAAATGTTTTATTGGCGCCCAATGTCTGTTTGTCTGCTGAGTTCTTTCCTTGTCCCCTCCAGTTCTTTATTCCTATAGTCTGCTGTATTGTTTCCTGCTTTCACGAGCATTGTGTTTTGTTATTTCCTTTTCTCCCGTGTTTTACATAGTTTCCCCTTTGAACTTTTCTTACAGAATCCTATGTTAGTTTTCCCCCCTCACCTCCGAGTAGGTTATCTGAGTTTCCATTACTTTGACTATTTTTTTAGTTAGAATTCCGAGTAAATTTATTAAATTTATTTTCCATATGAAATTAATAATTAACAAACAAATTTACACCTTCCATATGTCCATAACTCACAACACACACCCCCGAAACAGAAACCCCAAAAACCACAATTATTAAGAAAAATTAATATTTTATAATATCTCTAAACTAAAAAATAATGACCCACATAATTCAAAAAAAAAAAATATTGAAGCTATGTTTAAAAAAATTGTGGCTAACTCTTACTCACACGAATTGGAATATTTTAGAAATATTAAAATTTAATAAAAAAAAATCTGAAACTGTTTCACAATGTCTAAGGGAATGTATCTTTAGAATCGAGAAGAAATTTTGTTGATGGTTCAACTCTAATTGGTTCAAATTTTGATAAAACAAATAATATAAATCTCAAGTTGGGGAACTTGAGCCGTTGACACCAACAAGATTAAAAAAAACCTACGAACACGTACATGTATACACTGGGTTGGCAGCTGCTGGCCGAAACTGGAGTGTTGCTGTGTTTCGGGACAATCAGGTGTCTCAGAAGCCGCTGCCTTGAGATTGGCATGATTTTTTGGATTTACATGAGGAGACGAAGGTTCTCCCCTTACGTCAGCATAATCATATGTTGCAGTACCTGTTTGGGTGTTATCGTAGGAGTCATTCTAACTAGCATATGGTGGACAGGTCTCCCCCCACCCAGGCGTGTCACGAAGGCCATGCATGATCTAAAGAGAGAGAGGTTCACCGATATAAGAGAGAGCCCCTAGGTCATGAAGCCTATCAAGCGGGTCTGAATAGCATTCTTTCTGATGCAGTCGTAGACGTAGTTAACAGTTACAGTATGAATGCCATCCTCGGCCGGAGATTTGAACAAAAAGAATCGCATAAAGGAGGGCAATACTTGATCAAATACATAAATACACCAGCTGTTGGCTGCAGATTGCTAGGAGAAGGCAGAACAGTTATGGTGGCACTTAATTTATCAAAAACTTTTGATACAGTCAATCATGCCACACTGTTCGAGGACATTTAACGCACCGCCCTCCGTTCAAGTTTAGACGTTGAATAATAAACTACATGTATGGACGTCAGTCGTACGTGGAATTCAGAAACATGAAGTCGAGCATCGGCAGAGTGTTCCCCACCTTGGGAGTTCCCCAAAGTGGGGTTATATCTCCGAAACTGTTTAACATCAACCTTTCTGAAATTCCAAACACCCCCCCCCCCTACCCCCAACAGACGGCATAGAGACAATAACGTACGCAGATGATTGTACGCTCTTGGCGCCCGGACCCATCATTGATGACATTTGCGATCGGTTGAACGCTTACCTAGTTGATCTAACTGCCTTTTTCGACACCACTAAATCGACAGCCACACTTCTCCCCACATGGATTGCGGAGATGAGGCTATCTTTGAATGTACAGGTTGATGGTGTTGTAATTCCGACCACCAACTACTTCAAGGTCTTAGGGGTTACATTCGATTGGCTTTTTAAGTCGTCCGCGCATACCACTGCCATATGCGACAAGATTAGAAGTAGGAACAAGGTTCTCAAGTCATTGGCCGGCAGCACTTGGCTAAGCTAAGGGAAATATTGTCGACCTCTTACAACGTGATCGGCCGGTATGTGGTGGTAAACTATGCGGCTCCGATGTGGTCCGCCAACGTTAGTGCTACACAGTGGAGAAATATTCAGTCCTACCAGAATGCCGCCTTTAGAACCGCAACAGGGTACCTCCTCATGACTCCTGTCGATCACCTACATCAGGAGGCGAAGGTCTTACCGGTGCGACAGCATAATAAAATGCTGTCAATGCAATACCTGTTTGGTTGTTACAGACAGAACCATCCGAATCGCCATGTGGTGGATAGGCAACCTCCGCCCAGGCACGTAAGGCAAGACTTTCATGATCTAGAGACAGAGATAAAGAGGTAAAAGAGAGAGCCTCAAGCAGGACTGAATAGTATTCACTCTAAGTCTTTTGAATTTTGGTGATTCAAGCGATATTATTCACCGGAAATGTTTCGAATTTGGTATTTGAAGTCCGTAATGGATACTACAGCCTAAGACAGATAATTTTCTGTGCAGGCTCATACAATGGTAACTTCCGATATTCGGTATTTTGATGATTTTAGCGACATATTCACCGGAATTGTTTTAAAATTCGATATTAGAAATCCGTAATGAATACTACAGCCTAAGACAGAATATTTTATGTGCAGGTCCATGCTTTCGTATAGCCCTCATATAACGGCTCCTCACTATATTCGTTATTTTGGTGATTTAAGCGACATAACTCACCGGAATTGGTTAAAATTTGGTATTTGAAATTCGTAATGGATACTTCATCCTATGGCTGAAAACTGCCTGTGCAGGTCCACATCTGCGTATAGCCCCCATATAACGACTCCTCCCGATATTCGGTTTTTTGATGATTTTAGCGACATTAATCACCGGAATTGCTTGAAAATTCGATATTTGAAATTCGTAATGGACACTACAGCCTATGACAGAAAATTGTCCGTGCAGGTCCACGTTCTCATGTAGCCCCCATATAACGGCTCCTCCCGATATTCGGTATTTTGGTGATTTTAGCTACATTATTCAGCGGAATTGTTTCAAATTTGGTATTTGAAGTTCGTAACGGATACTACTTACGAATATTCACGGATTTTTTTTTTTTCATTTATTTTTTCGATTTAAATAGAGATGAGAAGTCTTAAAAATATTTTTTGTCCAATAAGACCTCGAAAATCATTCTTAAAAAATTCACGATTTTTGCCCCGGAAGTCTTTGGAAAAATCCATAATCTATGTAGTCGCGAAGTCTTTGAAAAAATATTCGAATTCATTTTAATTTATGTAATCGAGTAGCTTTTCAAAAAATATTTTAGTTGATTTTTAGATTTATCTCTAAAAGTGTCTTCTGGCTTTGGGGAAACATACATGCCCGACATCTATTTCACGACATTGTGATTCAGTTTTAAATTCCTATAATTTTTATGTCCTAAGAAATACTATTAATTTAGTAATTAATTATTTATTAATTATAATTATTAATTAATTATAAAATTAAATATATTTATGTATATTTATTTGAGCGTTTGTTTTTTGTCATACATTTCCCCTTCTCTGTTTATATTGTATGTATCCTCCCTCTATTTTGATGAATTACAAAATCTATAGGTATACCCATGCCTACATTACACAAGCCAATGAATATCATCGTCATTATCATCAACAACAACACCATCACCAGCAGCAGCAACAACAGCATCAACTCCATTACCACCAACAACAACAAATGGCATTCAATCAAACCCATAACTCAACAATGTTGGACGAAGATTCATTAAATCAAAGTACTAGTCTGTATAGTGGCATTGGCATCGGCGGCGGCGGTCCCTCCAGGGCCCATTCACAAACAAATCTTTCACAAATTCACGGTGGTTATTATGTAACGCCCACGGTGGCGGCTGCAGCGGCCATGGCCTCTGGTGGACCAGCATCGGCCATGTATTATGCACGTTCTGATTATGCGGAATCAAGGTGCTTTTTTTTTTAGAAAAATACAAGAAAATAAGAAACTATTATGTAGAAGACCTATCTATCTATATCTTGTCAAGACATATTGCTAATGCATTTTTATGTGGTATTGCTAGAAACAAAAAACAAAAAAACAATTGGAACAACTTATATGTAATGGAAAAAAAATATCTCCTATACTATTTCCTACCAATATTTACAAGTATATGGCTGTCCTCTTATTTTTCTAATTTCTATATAAGGAATTGTATTTTATGGCTTTAAATTATATAGCATTGGGTGATTCTTTTTCCATATTCGGAAGGGGAAATGTACAAAGAAACCTCTCATGGAATTTATAGTTATTTAGTTGAACTTCCTCGATAAAGAACTTATGTATAGCTCTCCACAACGTATAAGAATTTGTAACAGAATTACTTCTCTTCATGCCATAAGCATCAAGTTTTTTTCAGTCTCATAGACAAGTTTGTCGGTATTCCATAAAAGGATAGCCTATTTTTATCCTTCATCTCTATAATTTTATTCTCTATACATTTGGTTTCAAAGGAAAGGTTTCTTTGTGCATTTAATAATTTTTATGATATTCAGTCTTCTTCTGGGGTCTATTTATAATTTTAACAACAATTCTTCTTCACTTTGTCTGTGTGTTTTTAAAATTATCTTCCGAATCTCTCTACTTATGTCTATATTAATCTTAATATAATGGGGTCCATTTTGGAAACTGTGGCACTTTTTAATGCCAACTTTACTGACCTTTCCAAATTATTTTCGTATCATTTTTGCATGCCATAATGTCTAATACGCTCATATTTTTGCAGAATTCATAATTTTTCCACTATTTTTGGCCCGTAGGCCATCTAAGGTAGTATTCTAAGAATTCTCCATACTTTCAGAAAGTCCTTATAGATATTGTAATCTGGGTTTCTTTCACTTATTTTTTTGGACAATTTTTGGACATGATGTGCCTTTAAACAAGTTAAAAAGTATCCGTCGGGTTTGCCGACAGATGTATACCCTAAGCCAATGTTCGATTATTATACCCTCAGCCATATGGCTAGAGAGGTTACATATCATTTTATATGACCAAAACGTGCCTCATCGAAATAGCGGTTTTAGACCCTAGATTTCTTTGGACCAAATCCGTTTCAGGACATTTGAAGTCGATCTAGCGATGTTTGTCCGTTCGTCTATCTGGCTGGTTGGTGCGCCCGATAACTCTCGAAGGGGGAGTATCCGATGTGATCCAAACTTGGTACATCGTAATATTGTTATCAAACTTAGATCGAGTTCGGAGATGGGCAATATCGGTCCACTCCTTCTGGCCTGCCCACAAAATGCCAACATTTTCAAAGAAAACAATTTACTGCACAGAAAGAGAAAGGATAATCCGATTTTGTTGCAACTTTGCAAATCCTAATATTTGCATCAGTGCTAGGTCAGGTGCGAATATGAACAATATCGCTTCACGCCATCAAGTACCTTCCCCAAAAAGGGTCAAAATTTTTAATAATGACAACTCTTATAAAATGTGATGTAAGTGTTCGATTGTCTTCAAATTACACACATCAAAATATTTTTATTAACCCAAGGTCTTGTGTGAAGAGGGCATTCCTTTTGGTACCTCCCCCACAGAGGACCATTCCTTTTGGTACCTCCCCCACAAAGGGTCAAAATTTTGAATATTCATGAAGCTCATACAACGCGACATTAACATCCGATTCCATTCAGCCTTGGTACATCTCAATATTTCCATCAACACAAGATATGTTATAAATATGGTAAAGATCGGACCATTCCTTCTGGTACCTCCCCCACAAAGGGTTAAAGTTTTGAATAACCAAAACGATCATAAAATCCGAAATAAGCATCCGATTCTCTTCATATTTCACACATCCCATTATTTCTACTAGCACAAGATCTGCTGTGAAGATGGAAAATATCGGTCCACTCCTTCTGCTACCTCCCCCACAAAGGGTCAACGTTTTTGAATAAACAAAACGATCATAAAATCCGAAATAAGCATTCGGTTCTCTTCATATTTCATACACCTCAACATTTTCGATAACACAAGATCTGTTATAAAGATGCTAGAGATCGGACCATTCCTTCTTCAACCTCCCCCACATAGGGTTCAAGATTTTTGAAAAATAAAACGGTCAAAGAAAGCGAAATAAGCATCGAACTCTCTTCAAATTTCGCACATGCAAACATTTTTGCTATCACAAGATCTGTTGGGAAAATGATATATATATCTGCGAAACCCTTCCATTACCTCACCCACAAAGGTTGACAATTTTCAATTCATTTATCTGTCATAACCTGCGAAACAAGTCAGTTATTCTTTACAAACTTGATCTCTCTCCCTCTCCCTCTCTCTCTTTTGCTATATCTAAATATTTCTCTCAACCAGAAACCTGAGATAAATATGGAATTTTTGATTTCCCATAAAATTGGTTATAAATATTCGGTTTTCTTGTAATTTTGGCCATACCAATATTTTCATCTGTATTAGATGAGGTGTGAAAAGAGGATATTTCGGTGGACTATATCTGGTACTCCACGCACATTTCAACATTTTCTAACAATTATCACTTATTTCTCATATAAAATGAACGAAGTCGGAACCTGGCTCGTCGCAATATTTATATCATATTTGTTTAGGTGTGATACAAAATAGACAATAATATTGGACCATTTCTTCGGAACCTATTCCATAAAGGGTAAACGATTTGAAAAATCAAAACCGAAGTCTAAATATTTTTAAATAATCGAACATTGGCTGAGGGTATACATCTGTGGGCAAACGAATGATACTTTTTTCCCTCTTTTTTTATATTGCCCCTCTTCAAACCTGAAGAGGGGCAAAAGAGACATGAAATCTTATTTCCATGAGGCACTTTTTTGTCCCATCGAATGCTGAATATCCATCTTCAAATCTGACATAAGTCCTGAAACGAAATTTCGTCCAAAAGAGACATGGAGTCTTATTTCCATGATGCCCCTTTTTGTCCCATCGAATGCTGTATATCCTTTGTAGCATCAAGGCTGAGGGCAAAAAAGCTCATGATCATGAGGTCTTCTATATATTTTATACATCTTCTATATTTTACACATCGAAACCCTTATGGCGAGGTCTTTGGCCCCCACCCGACTTGTGTATATTCCTAACTGGTTTTGTTTATTTTTTTTTTAATTTTAACAGAGTGTCTATTATAAAATGTGTATTTCTTGATATTATATATTTGTTCTAGGGTCTGTTGGCTTAGGTCTCTTGGTTTAATAACTGCACCTACGCCATATATATATTTTTTTATGAGGGGCACCTTGTAGACAATTTCTTTCTCCATTATCATCATCTTTGTATAGATAATTTCTTTCTCCATTATCATCATCTTTGTATTTTTAATTCTTCCTCATTATCATCATTTATGGCCATTCACATTTTGCATGTCATGCTTTGCCGCTGAATTGTTTGTAGCAAAACAAAACTCATTTCAACAAAACTCTTCTCTTTCGTTAATTTGGCTTCATAATATGGCCTGCCAAAGAGCATGCAAAAAGCAATGGAAAAAAGCCTCTTTATTTGCATTTTATTTAAGAGCATGTTCTCACTCTCTCTTATTTTCTCTCATTTTATTTGCTGAGTATATTTTTCTTTGCCACATTTGGTTTTGCATTTATTTTTTATGCATGGATTTTATTTTTAATTTTTATTTTCTCAATTCTAATTGGAAATTTAATATATATTTTGAAAATAATTTCAAAATATACCATATTAATTAATTTTCCATTTTTTCCTGCCAGATCTGGAGCACGTGATCCAGATCCCATTGCCACGGAGCCACAACGTTTGACTCCCTGTAAATTCATCAACGAACATGCGGTTGTTAGTTTCGGTTCGGGGCTCTTGGTGACGGTGAAACCGAAATACACCCCACATGGCCACATTAGCAACATTGTTAAACTGTTGAAATTCAAACCCAACGATGAGACGCGTAAACTGTTCAAAGTCTTCCCTGGGCCGTTGGTAAGGGGTTTGACCCACAAGAAAACGGTCATAGAATTTTGCCAGGAGCAAATTCGTTTGGGACCCATGGAAACGACAATCTATGCCAAACAGCTGATTAGCAACAATGCCGAGAAATATCGCGGCTCCTATACATTGATGTGGAATCTTTTGATTTTGCTACTGAAACAGAATGGAGTAAGTCACCCCTGCCACCCTCAAAATAATGTATGGCAAACATTAATTCTCCTTCTTTTGTTTTACTTCTTTTCCAGATGGTTGTGGGCACAGACATTGCCGAATTGCTGCTGAAAAATCAACAACAGTTTGCCTATCAAACACCCAGCTCCACTTTGAATAGCTCTTTAAAATCGAAATCGGGTGCCAACTCTCCCGTGGCTGCAGCTGAACAAGAGGACCCAACCGCCACCACCAAGGATACTGATAATCCAGAAGAGGCAAATCCTGAAAACTCATCCCGTAATGAGGATCACGAAGAAAATCGCTTGGACAGTGGCGAAGACGAGGCCAAGGATGAAGCAACCAGCTCCACACTAACCGACAGCGAAATAACCGAGAAATTTAGAAACTATTTGCTATACGGCAATGTCAACGAAGCCCTGGACTGGGCCACCGACAATAATCTATGGGGTCATGCCCTGTTCTTGGCCTCGAAATTGGATCGCCGCTCCCATGCCAATGTCATGATGAAATTCGCCAATAAATTGGCCCTAAACGATCCTCTGCAAACATTGTATCAGCTGATGAGTGGTCGTACCCCCTCGTCGGTGACATGTGTTCAAGATGAAAAATGGGGTGACTGGCGTCCACATTTATCCATGATCCTATCGAACACCTCACAAAAACCGGAACTGGATCGCAAGGCCATAACGACATTGGGTGATTCACTGTTCAATCGTGGCGATTTGTATGCGGCACATTTTTGCTATTTAATGGCCCAGGTTAATTTCGGTCGTTATCAGGAGTCGGCAACACAGGAGACTTCGTTGCAACAACATTTGCCAAAGTAAGTAATGGAAAGGGTGGCATCGTCAAGTGGGGAATTATCCAAAGCCTCCAAATATTTCTAAACATTTTGAAATGACACTTTATCCAAATTTGTTTAACCGTTACGGATTTTTTTTCTTCCCTTTCAGATTGGTCCTGCTGGGTTCTTCGCACTACAAACAATTCCAAGATTTTGCCCATAACGAAGCCATAATTATGACTGAAATCTATGAGTATGCCTGCTCGTTGAATGATGAGAAGTTCTCCATTACTGAATTCCAGGTGAGCAGCATTTCATTATATCCACAGGCATATGACTTCTTATATCCTCAGTCATATGGCTAGAGAGAGGGTATATATCATCTGATACGGCCAAAACGTGCCTCATTGAAATAACGGTTTTAGACCCTAGGACTCTTTGGACCAAATACGTTTCAGGAGATTTGGAGTCGATCTAGTGATGTTCGTCCGTCTGTCTGGCTGGCTAGTACGCACGACAACTCTTGAAGGGAGTATCCAATTTGATCCAAACTTGGTACATCGTAATATCATTGTCAAACATAGATCGAGTTCGGAGATGGACAATATTGGACCACTCCTTCTGGTAGCTCCCCCACAAAATGTTAACATTTTCAAAGAAATTTATTGCACAGAAAGAGAAAGGATAATCCGATTTTGCTCAAACTTTGCATATCCTAATATTTGCATCAGTGCTATATCAGGTGTGAAAATAGACAATATCGGTCCACTCCATCCAGTACCTTCCACACAAAGGGTCAAAATGTTGAATAATTATAACTCTTATAAAATGTGATGTAAGAGTATGATTGGCTTCAAATTGAACATATCACAATATTTTTATAAAAACAAGGTCTGGTGTGAAGAGGGCAGATATCGGTCCACTCCTTCTGGTACCTCCCCCACAAAGGGTCAAAGTTTTGAACTTTCACGAAGCTCATAAAAGGCGAAATTAACATCCCATTCCATTCAGACTCAGCACATCTTAATATTTCCATTAACACCAGATCTGTTGTAAAGATGGTGGAGATCGGACCACTTCTTCTGGTAACTGGCCCACAAAGGGTCAAAGTTTTGAATAACCAAAACGATCATAAAATTCGAAATAAGCGTCCGGTTCTCTCCAAATTCCACACTTTACAATATTTGTATTTACCCAAGGTCTGGTGTGGAAATGAGATATATCGGTCAATTTATTCTGGTACCTCCCCCACAAAGGGTCAAAATTTTGAATATCCCATGAAGCTCATAAAACGCAAAATTAACATCCGATTCTATTCAGACTTGGTACATCTCAATATTTCCATAAACACAAGATCTGTTACAAAGATGGTAGAGATCAGGCCATTCCTTCTGATACCTCCCCCACAATGGGTTAAAGTTTTGAATAACGAAAACGTTCATAAAATCCGATATAAGCATTAGGTTCTTTTCAAATTCCACACTTCACAATATTTTTATTTACCCAGGGTCTGGTGTGAAGATGGAAATTATCGGTCCACTCCTTCTGGTACCTCCCCCACAAAGGGTTAAAATTCTGAATATTCATGAATGTCATAAAACACGAAACTAACATCCGATTTCATTCGGAATTGGTGCATCTCAATATTTCCATCAACACAAGATCTGTTATAAAGATGGTAGAGATCGGACCATTTCTTCTGGTACCTCCCCCACAAAGGGTCAAAGTTTTGAATAACCAAAACGATCATAAAATCCGAAATAAGCATTAGGTTCTTTTCAAATTCCACACTTCACAATATTTTTATTTATCCAGGGTCTGGTGTGAGGATGGAATACATCGGTCCACTCCTTCTGGTACCTGGCCCATAAAGGGTCAAAATTTTGAATATCCATGAAGCTCATAAAACGTGAAATTAACATCCGATTTCATTCTGACTTGGTGCATCTCAATATTTCCATCAACACAAGATCTGTTATAAAGATGGTAGAGATCGGACCATTGCTTCTGGTACCTCCCTCACAAAGGGTCAAAATTTGGAATAACCAAAACGCTCAAAGAAAGCGAAATAAGAATCCAATTCTTTTCATATTTCACACATCCCATTATTTCTACTAGAACAGGATCTGCTGCGAAGGCGGAATTTATCGGTCCACTCCTTCTGGTACCTCCCCTACAAAACGTTAAAATTTTGAATAACCAAAGCGATCATAAAATCCGTAATAAGCATCCGGTTCTCTTTAAATTACACATATCACAATATTTTTTCTAATCCAAGTTCTGATATACATCTGCCAACTCCTTCTGGTTCCTCACCCACAAAGGGTCACAATTTTCAATACTTATATCTGTCATAACTTGCGAAACAAGTCGGCGATTCTTTACAACTTGTTATATCTAAATATTTCTCTTAATCAGAAATCTGATATGAATATGTAAATTATCGGAATTTATGATTTCGCAACAAATCGAGCATTGTCTGGGGTATACATCTGTCGGCAAAACCGACTGATACTTTTTAACTTGTTTTTACTATCCAAAAGCAAAAAAAAAATATTGATTTTCATCAATGAATGTTTTTTCTTCCCTCCCCTCTAGCCCTATAAGTTCCTGTTAGCTACACGGCTTTTGGATTATGGTTTCCATTTGAAGAGTTTAATGTATTTGGAGCAAATTGCTGTACACATCGCAAGGGATCCGAGCAAATATGAGGGCAGTTTTATCAACAAGGTAAGGCGCTATCAAGAAACCCCTTTAGCTTCACAGAAAACTAATTGTTTTTTTCTCTAGGTCTATGAATTGGCTGATCGTTTGAAATACTACGACCCGGTGCTGGAGAAAACCATTGATGACCAGCAACAACAGGGCCAGGATGAGGCTGGCGATGGCAATCTAAATCAATCCCAGCAACAGATGGAGGAACAAAAATGGCTGCAAAGTCTCAGGCAAATGGCTCAACAATATAAAATCGATTGTGGCTTAGCTGTGGCAGCATCAAGCACGCTAGCTGCCCCATCCGTATCCATGATGGACGGCCAACAACCAAACCCCGCCATGGTGGATCCATCATACAACTATCAGCAACAACAAATTGATCAACAATTTATGGAAATAAATAAACAATTTAGTGAATTGAATTTACAATATCAAAACAATAATCAGGAAGCAAACCAGCAACAACAACAACAGCCTACTTTTTACAATCCCGAATTGATGCAGCAAAATTCCCAACCCCATGCAGATCCCCTACAACAGCCGGCATCCTTAGATCCATATCAACAACAAAATGATCAGCCACTGAACCAGGATCCTCAACAGCAGCAACAGCCCCTGGATCCCCAAAATCCCAATCAAGATCTTTATCAACAACAACAGCAGCAGCAATCATCATCGTACATGCAACCTGATCCACAATATCAAGGTTATACTCAGGCCTATTATGATCCCTCTCAGCAGCACTATAATAACAACGATCCTAGTTTAGATCAACAAACGACGGCCACAGATAATGCTGCCTATGATTATTGGTCTCAACAACAGCAACAGCAAATGCAAGGTGGCTATGGCTCCGAGGAGGTAAGTTCGAATTAATTTTCAGTTTTTTAGTTTGTTTTTTTCTTTCAGTTCCCAAAATGTTCCTAGATTCTTTTTTGATTTCCTATTTTTCTGTTCTCTTCTTTTCTTTAATTTGATTGGTATTTAAATTTTTTGTTAATATTTTATTTTTATTTGTTTTAAAATTAAAAAAATAATCCTTTAGGCTAGAGCATCCTCTTCTTCCACATACTTTGATATGTTTATGTGGCTTTGGCTAAAAGAGAATTGAATTATTATAACCTCCAACATAGTATGGAGGGTATATTATGTTTGTCATTCCGTTTTGTAACAACCTCGAAATATAAATTTAAGACCCCACAAAGCATATATATATTCTTGATCAGATTACAAATTCGATGCCGATTTTACGATGACCATCCGTCCGTCTTTCCGTCTGTGGAAATCACTCTAACTTTCGAACGAATTGATGTAGGTTGATAAAATTTTACTCAATTATGTGTTTCACCTGCAGGACTTTTGGTATTGAAAATGGGCCATGTAGGCCCATGTCTTCGTATAGCCCCCATATAACTGTACCTCCCTATATTCGGTATTTCGGTGATTTCAGCAACATTATTCACCGGAAATGTTTCATATTTGATATTTGAAGTTCGCAATGGATATTACAGCCTATGACAGAAAATTGTCTATACAGGTCCACGTCTTCGTATAGCTCCCATATATCGGTACCTCCCTATATTCGGGTTTTTGATGATTTTAGCGACATTGTTCACTGGAATTGTTTCAAGTTTAGTATTTGAAGTTTGAAATAGGTACTAAAGCCTTAGACAGAAAATTGTCTATGCAGGTCCTCGTCTTCGTATAGCTCCCATATAACGTTACTTCCCTATTTTCGGTATTTCGGTGATTTCAGCAACATTATTCACCGGAAATGTTTCATATTTGATATTTGAAGTTCGCAATGGATATTACAGCCTATGACAGAAAATTGTCTATACAGGTCCACGTCGTCGTATAGCCCCCATATATCGGTACCTCCCGATATTCGGTATTTTGACGATTTTAGCGACATTATTAACCGGAATTGTTTCATATTTGGTATTTGAAGTTCGTAATGGATACTACAGCCTGTGACAGAAAATTGTCTATGCAGGTCTAGGTCTTCGTATATCCGCTATATAACAATACCTCCCTACATTCGGTATTTTGATAATTTTAGCGACGTTATTCACCGGAATTGTTTCAAATTTGGTATTTGAAGTTCGTAACAGAATTCTTAACGGATTTTATTTTTTGAAAATTGTCAATTTCCAAATTCTGGAGGGTAATAAAGCTTTTTTTTCTTGTTTTTGTTTAAAATCGTTCATTCGATTTCAGTTGTTTTTTTTTTGTTTTTGCTTTTTTATTATTTTTATTTTAATATTTTTCGTTTTGGTTCTCTAACCCAAATCAAAATTTTGTTTTCAAAATTTGCAAGTAAAAATCAATAACAAAAATATTCGCCTCCAAATCGATATTTCCATTTCCATTTCTGTTTCTATTTTTTGTCCTGAAATGGCATGCCTTAACCTTTGGAAACCCTGTGCAACAAACTTTAGCCACCAAGTGATAAACATGAAAGCTATGAAAGTCCTGAAGTAACATTGGCTAAGGCGAAGTCTTTGCCAAAACCCAAAACAGCTAGTAGTCCTCCTTCAGCTGCTAAAACAACAGCCAACACCAATTCCTCATCGTCTTTGTATTTAAACAACAACAATAATAATAACAATAATAATAAAAAATCATCATCATCATCTCTAATGAAATCTTCAAGTCTGCTACAACAACATCAACATCAAAAAAATAAAACAATGACAACAACAACAACAATGAGAACAAGCAGCAGCAGCAACAACAAAAATCATGCTAAAAAATCCCTAGATTCGGCTGCTGCGAATCATCATTTGGCATTTAATAAATTAGATCATGAATCATCCACGGCTAGTATTAAGGATCCCTATAATCCAAACACAACAACAACAACACCCCAGTCATCTTTGTCCCCAACATCACCAACAACAACAGCAACAATGCCATTTTCAATCAATAATGTAAGTAAAATCAAATCATCAAACGAACAACAAGAACAGCTACAAGCAGCAGCCCTTCCGCTTGGCAATAGCTTAAAAACAATTAATGCTCAAACCTTACAAAAGCCACAAATAACACAAAATCCCCCTTTAAGCCAACATCATCATCATAGGCCGCTGAAACCGCTCACCCCGTCTAGGTTAAAAAATGAAAATAAATTGAATAATTTTGCCACGGCGAATTCAAATGATGGCAAAAAAGTTAATTTTTATATACCTGAAAAGGAAACTGCTCTGAAACTCAATAGGGGTCGCAACAACTCCTGGATTTCCCCCTCAGCCTCAGCCTCCGCCTCCTCCTCCACATCCAGTTCCATGGAGGACAATAATGTTAGGGAAGAAGAAACGCCATCAGGCGGTGGCCAACAAAACCCCTTGGCATTGAATAAAAATCCTTTGGCAAGCCACTCGATGTTGGTACGCCGCTCCCCGGGCCATGCCTACCCTGGAAAATTGCTGAATAAAAACATTGTTTTCAATGGCACCTATCCCATTGATATGCCTTTGCAGAATCGTTTCAAAAACTATGATCCCGAGGCCAATTGTGGTATCGATGAGAATCAATTGTATGAGGCCACATATCAAGATGCCTCATCCAATGATGGGGAATATGAGGACGAAGAAGAAGAATATGATGAGAATAACTATTATGATGAGGAGGATGATAATGGTTATTTCGAATACAAACAACAACAACAACAACTTCATGACTTGGAATCCCTCAATAGCCATTATCATCTGCATCATCGTCATCAAAAGCATAAACAATTGTTATCCTCTTATGGCATTATCAAGGCCCCCACTACTTCTTCGTCTTCCTCTTCCATGGCGAAACTGTCACAAAAACCAGCCCACCAAGTCTGGTCCATGCAAGAGCTCATCAATGACCCGTCCATACCCTTGAACTACAAGAAAATGTGCAATGAAGTGGAACAGTCGCTGCAACAATTTGAAAAATACATTGATGCCAAAACGGCCAAGGGAGGAGGAGGAGGGGGAGGGGAAGTTACAACAACTGACAAGAACATGAAAACAAGTTTTAAATCATCCCACATACCACCCCCCGTGGTGAAGACATTCAATATCGACGATCCAATTATTGATTTCAAAAAGAATAATTGAAAAGAAATTTAAATTCAATAAAGAAATCAATAACATTTAGGGTATTTATTTTATTTTAGAATAAGTTTTAAAATGAAACCATAAATCCCCCATGGCCGTAGTGGAGATAGACATTCAATATCGCCGATCCAATTATTGATTTCAAAAAGAATAATTGAAAAGAAATTTAAATTAAACAATGAAATCAATAAAATTTAGGGTATTTATTTTATTTTAGAATAAGTTTTAAATTGAAACCATAAATCCCCCATGGTCATGGTGGAGATTTGATTTAAAAAAAAACAAAATTGTTGATGTTGAAAAACAATAACAATATCTTTGTTTTTGATAATTTTAGAATAACTTGTTAAGTCTTTAGAATAAGTTTTTTTTATTTGAAACCACCCGCACCTGGTTTGTTTTTATGTTTTTTATCTTCTTTTGTTTAGATATATATATTTTTTGTTTTATTTAAATCATATTTGAAATATACATGTGTGTATGTATGTGTGTCGCATATGTGATTGTGTTTGTACATGAAATGTTTTTGTTTTCCTTTTTGTTTTTCATTTTGATTGACAAGATTAATGGGTGATAAATAATAAGGGGTAAGGTGGAAAGATGTGAACAGCAAAGAAAAACTGTATTCATAATTTGAAGCATACTTTTAGGCACTCGTTTTCAATTATCTTAAGGAAGATTACATTTTTCTTTAATATTTAATAACACGTTATGATAAATTATAATTATATAAATTATAAGATAAATAGACATGACATGACCATCGCGTCATTGTACATTTGTGAAACAGGAATTGTGTGTAGTTTGTACAAGATGGCGCAGAGAGAGTGAAAATGCCACCAATTTTACGATTGGTCCATAATGTCTTAATTATAGCCAAAAAACATCGAAATGTCTGTCAAGTACAGATGCATATAAGAAGTGAGGCGTAATTAAGACATTAGGGGCCAATCGTAAAATTAATAGCATTCCATGAAAATATAGCAAATAAGATATTATTTTCAGGGGTTTTCCGACTTTTGAACTTAAAAAAAAAAAAAATAATAATTTTTCGAAGATATTCGACACCCACTTAGGGGCAAACAATAATCGTAAATAATTGAAAAATATTTTCTCTAACTCCATCTTCAGACATGTTTTTTCTTTTAATCTTTTTTCAAACCTTCTCTTTAAACGTGGATTTAAAAAAAATTCTTTATTCGACTCATAATCTCAGTGTGGGTTTTTTGAAAAAGTAGAAAAGCCAGAGCCAGAACTCGTTATAGATGACAAAAGAAATCCGTCTCTGAATTCACACACTGAGATCATGAGTCGAATGTTCCCCGCATAGCTCGTAGTCTCCTTTGATATGGCAGAGAAGTGAATATCAGTTGTATGCATGGTTTGTAGCATGCTTTTAGGAACTTTCCATTGATCTCAGAATATATTATTAAGGAAGTCTTTAGTTTTTGGTCTGGAAAAAATATTTTTTAAAAAAATTGTAAAAATTTAAAAAAACCACGTTTGAAGATAGTCTTGATTTTTTTTTTAAATCCACGTTTGAATGTGACCTTGAAAACATTTTTTAAAAGTCCAAATTTGAATAAGGTCTTGATTTTTTTTTTAATACACGTTTGAATGTGACCTTGAAAACATTTTTTTGAATCCTCGTTTGAAGATGGACTTGAAAACTTTTTTTTAAAATCCACGTTTGAAGTTGGTCTTCAAAAATACTTTTTTTTAACAAATCTACGTTGGAAGATGGTCTTGAAAAATATTTTTTAAAGAATCCAAGTTTGAAGATGGTCTTGAAAAACATTTTTTTAAAAAATCAACATTTGAAATGGCTTTGAAAAATATTTTTTAAAAAATCTTTATCCACGTTTGTAGATAATATTAAAAAATATATATTTTTTGGGAAAAGATTTAAAAAAAAAGCCACTTTTGAAGATAGACTTGGAAAAAAATATTTTGCAAAAAAATTAATTTTTCTTAAAAGTTCAAAAATCGAAAAATTTTTTGAAAATAAAATGTTTTTGAAAACTTTATAAATATAAGATTTTTTGGTATTCTGAATAATTTTCCAAAATACGAAAATTTTCCGAAATGTAATTTTAAGTCAGTGATTATATGAGATTCTATGAGTGTCCCGGGAAGTGGTTACATTCTAACAAAAAAAAAAAAAAAAAAAACATGACATTTGTATAAAAAAAATCTGTGTTTATTTAGTTAGAAAATTCGCAGTTAAGTTGCTGCATTTCCCAAAAATCTATATTTTTCAATTTTCAAAAGTGAGGTTATGTCAGGAAATTTTCTGAAAGTGAAATTTTAAATGGTTTTTTAAATATCATCCATAATTATATGAGATTCTATGAGTGCCCCAAGAAGTAATTACCCACCAAAAAAATCATGGTATTTTTATTTCTAAAAATTTTTCCAAAAGTGAGGTTAATTTTAAAAATTTTAGAATTTTATGGATTTTTGTGTTTATTTGAGGAAAATCTCATATAAATATTAGTTAAAAGGGCATATATCCACAAAAAAAAACTATATTTTTAAAAGTGAGGTTGTGCCGACATTTTTTTTTTTTTTTTTTTTTTTGAAAATACAATTCTAAGTCTTTATTTAAATATCATCTGTAATTTAATGAGATTTTAGTGTTAGTGGTAACATTCTACCCAATAAAACCTGGAAATATTTTGCATTTTGATATTTTTATTTTAAAAATTTTTGAGACTTTTTTCCAAAATTGAGGTTAATTTTAGGAATTTCATGGATTTTTGTGTGTTTTTTTAAGAAAATCGAATATGAATATTAGTTACAAGACCGTATATCCCCAAAAACTCTATTTTCTCCCATTTTCAAAAGTGAGGTTATTTCCAATTTTTTTTTTTTTTTTTTTGAAAATACAATATTATGTCGTTATTTAAATATAATCTGTAATTAAATGAAATTTCACGAGTACCCCGGGTAGTGGTAATATTCTCCCCCATAAAATCTGAAAATATTTTGCATTTTGATATTTTTTTCAAAAATTTTCGAGAAATTTCAAAATTTCATTGCTTTTTTGTGTACAATTAAATCAATTTTGCACATAAATACTATTAAATACTACTATTGACCCGAAAAACGTAATTGTTGTCTTTTTTTAAAAAATGGAGTTATGTCTGAAACATTTTTTTTTTCAAATGTTTCAAAATTGAGTTAAATTGAGGAATTTCGAAATGTAATGGAGTTTTTTTTTGTATATTTAAATCGATTTTTCACATGAACTTTGGAATAAATCGAAAAACTCTTTTTTTGTCTTAATTTCAAGAGTGAGGTTATGTCTGATTTTTTTTTGAAAATAGACTTTTATGGATATATGAATTAATTAGAAATTATGTAAGATTTTTTGAGTAAAATAATTATAAAAATAGTTTATATTTATTGTATTTAATTAAAAAAAAATTAAATTTAATTTTTCAAAATATTTTAAGGAAAAACTGATCAAAATAAAAATATAAATTTCGTAACAAATATGTTTAGTATATATTCTGCTATTTAATTATTGCCAAAGCAAAAATGTTCTCTCTAACCATAGTTTAAAAAATATATTGTCCTGTTATCATTTCCTTTTTGTAAAACTCAAATGCTTTTTCTCTTCTAAGCTATACTCCTTCCTCTTTTGAAATACATAAATTTTCTTTTGGAAATTTTTTGTATTTCCCTTAAATTATTTATTTTTATTTAATATTTTTGGTTTTTTAATTTCGTAATAACTTTAAAAATCCTTGAACTTCCGCACACTTTAGAATGCAAGACCAACAATTTCGATGCCAAAATCCAAAACCTATGATACGGATGATGAAACAAACCAAGCGGCTGATAAACAACAAAAGGGCCAGCAAAAATCTGGGGGGACTTCGAATGACTCCAAACAGCAGCAACAACAGGCGGCAGCCGCCCAAAAGAATAAGGAAAACAAGGATGCGAAAAAGTAAGTTTTGAAATGATATTTTATATTTGAAAATTTAATGAATTGTTTACCCTTCTTACCCTGCAGTGCCAGTAACTCAAATCAAAATTCTGGTTGGTTTGGTGGCATATGGAATAAGTTCTCATTGAAACCGAAAAATCAAATGATCCTACCGGATGATAAGAATCCCTCGATTGTCTGGGATCCAGAGAAAAAGAAATGGGTCAACACCGATGCCGATGAACAGGCTGAGGAAGCATTTAAGCCACCGCCCAAGATGGGTGATTTAATGCCACAAGCATCACAAGGACCACCATCACAACAACAGCAGCAACAACAACCGCCTCAACAGCAGCATCAGTCCCAAACCCAGCAACCACAAATAGCATTTATGGATCCTCAACAATATGTGCCTACAGCATCATCAACACCCCTGTCGTCGTCACAACAACCCCAACAACCAACAGCAACAACAAATGTTGCTGCTGCTCCCAATAATCAAAATAATCCAGCACCTGCCAAAACTCCCACACTACAGTCCAACATGTTTAAAATGCAAAGAAATCGAAGTAAGTTTTGAACCCTTGCCCCTTTTTACGATGCTATGCAATATTTTACTAATCATTGATTCATTATTCTCAGCCCTGAAAAATGCCTATGTCGATGTATTCAATCCATCTGGTGCTCCTGTAAATAAGGCTGCTGAAAATATACTTGCTCCTGCATTACCTCCTGCCACAGTGCCTCAAAGTGGATTCTTTATACCGGGCGGCACGGGGTCAGGGCCCGCGACTGGTAATGGTGGTCAAGATACAAGTGGTGGTTATCAACAGCAAGCGCAAGATGTAAGTGGGAAATAGGAAAACGGCTGCCAAATATGGGGGTGCATCATTTTGATCTTTCTTGAAATTCGTAATGCCTAGAAAGGAGAGTTTGTTGCCATTTTTTTTTCATCGTGGAAGACAACATCTATAGGAGCTCCCAAAAAAAGATCCCATGGATCTTAGAGAAAAATGATAATATTCTTCCCAGAAAACCCATTATTTTTAAAAGACATTTTTTGGCCTCCTATTTCAACATTTTCACACCTCTTTTGGGAGACCTTTTAATTATTTATTAGAAGAGCCTTTCAGGTCGAAATAGTAAGCCAGAGGGCACAAGAGCAGGAGTATTCATCGAGGAAATGAACATCAAGCACTTATATAAACTTAACGACATAAAAACTCTGTAGCGTGCGGAGCCTAAATGCAATGTGACGTTAGGACAATTTGGAACATAATTTTACTTCGTAGAACTGAATCCCAATTTTTTTTAACAAAAAAAATTAAATTAACCTCAAAAAATATTACCAAATTTGTCACACTTTTTTTCCGACAAATGTTATACATGGCAATTTGATATTTTCGATGACTTATATTGAAATTTTATATAGAATATATTTGCTATTGACAACATTCGGCTAAAATGAAGTGTTGAGGAAATTTTCAAGGAAATACAGAAACAACTCCCAATGAAATGCATTATTAAAAATTCCCGAAATGAAACACAATTTTATTAGGGTGCATTACATATTTACAGTTATCATTTATTCTGAGACTCATAGTGAAATTTGAAGTAAGATATTTTCTCCTTTAACGCGATCTTCCTATAATGAAGTTTCCTTGGCCATTTCGTACCAATTTTAAATAATTAAAAAGCTAACCTAAAAAAATTATAATCAGATTGTCACACGATTTTCTTCCGATAAATATTATATATAGCTATTTCATATCTTCGATGACTTATATTGAAATTTGATATAGAATACATTTTCTATTGACACCATTCGGCTAAAATGAAGTGTTGAGGAATTTTTAAGGGAAATTCACAAACAACTCCCAAAGAAATGCATTATTAAAAATTCCATAAATCAAACACATATTTATTAGGCTTTATTACACATTTACAGTTATCATTTATTCTGGGACTCATAGTGAAATTTGAAGCAGATTATTTTCTTCATTGACATGATCTTGCTAAATTGAAGTTTTGTGGGTCATTTTACCATCATTACCAAAAAAATGGGAAATTAACCTCAAAAAGTTATAATGAAATTGGTATACGTCTTTTTTGCCGGCAAATGTACGTTTTCCGATTTCTTGTCTTTGGTGACTGATATTGAAATTGGGTGTAGAATTTTTTTCCCATTGGTACCATCCACCTAAACTGAAGTATGGATAACAAATTTGAAGAAATCGGGAACAGCCCAAAATTATCTTGGAATAAAAAAACAAAATTTAAATTAGAGTTTTATTAAATCACAATATATTTATATATTTAATGTTTGTGTTTTTTCATTTCCTTGGAGACTCATAATAGAATTTTGTGAAGAGTATAATCTCCTTTGACATCAACTAGCAAAAATTAAGTGCAATGGTTGCTTTTGATACCAACTTAAAAAAACACGGAATTAACCTCAAAAACTTGTGTGACCAAATTGTTACAGATTTTTTTGCAGACAAATATTGTAGCTAGAAATTTCTTGTCTTCGGAGACTTATGATGAAATTGGGTGTAGAACACTTTTCCCATTGGCAACATTAACCTAAAATCATGTAATGTGGGAGATTTGGAGGAAATTTGTACAATAAATCTGAAAAGGTTATATTCAAATAATACCCATTTTGTTATTGCTATTTTAGTGAGTATATATTACATATACGTTCTTTATTTGTTTTGGAACTCATAATAGAATTTTGAGAAGATTATTATCTCCTTTGACACCAACTCCCAAAAATTAATGCTAGTGGGTAATTTTAGCTTCAACCCAAAATAAATAAGAACTTAACCTCAAAAAATTGTATGACCAATTTGTATCAGATTTTTTGCAGTCAAATATCATAGCTACAAATTTATTGTCGTCAATGACTTATGGTGAAATTAGGTGTGCAACACTTTTCCCATTGGTAACATCCTCCTAAAATCAAGAAATATGGATGATTTTGAGGAATTTCGTGCAATAACTCTAAAAAGGTTATATTCAAAAAATACCCATTTTGTTGTTGCTATTTATGTGTGTATGTATTACATATACGTTCTTTATTTGTTTTGAGACTGGTAATAGAATTTTGAGAAGATTTTTATCTCCTTTGACGTCAACTCCCAAATACTAATTGTAATGGGTCAAGCTCCAACCCAAAAGAAATAAGAACTAAGCCTCAAAAATTTGTGTGACCAATTTGTTACAGATTTTTTTCACACAAATATTATAGCTACAAATTTATTGTCTTCGGAGACTTATGATGGAATTGGGTGTAGAATATTTTTCCCATTGGCACCATTTGCCTAAAACGAAGTATAAGGGGAAATTTTAAGGAAAATCGAAGTAAACTCAAAAATATCTTGCTATAAAAAAGCAAAATTTAAATTAGAGTTTTATTAAATCGCATTACATATTTACAGTTATCATTTATTCTGGGACTCATATTGAAATGTGGAGTAGATTCTTTTTTCCATTGACACGATCTTTCCAAATTGACGTTTTGTGGGTCATTTTGCCACCATTCTCCAAAAATACGAAAATAACCTAAAAAAGTTATAACAAAATTGTTTCAGGCCTTTTTTTGTCGACAAATGTTCGATTACCGATTTCTTGTCCTTGGTGACTTCTATTAAATTTGGGTGTAGAATATTTATCCCATTGGCAACATTTGCCTAAAATTAAGAGTTGGGGGAAAATTTTAAGGAAAGTCGAAATCAACTCAAAGATATCGTGGGGATAAAAAGCAAAATTTTAATCAGAGTTTTATTAAATCACATTACATATTTACAGTTATCATTTTTTCTGGGACTCATAGTGAAATTTGGAGTAGATTCTTTTCCCCATTGACGCCATCTTCCTAAATTGATGTTTTGTGGGTCATTTTGCCCTCGTCCCAAAAAATGGGAAGTTAACCTCAAAAAAAATTATAACTAAATTGTTACACGTCTTTTTTTTGTGGACAAATGTTCATTTTCCGATTTCTGGTCCTTGGTGACTTCTATTGAAATTGGGTGTAGAATATTTTTCCCATTGGCACCATTTACCTAAAATTAATTTTTGGGGAGAAATTTTGAGGATAATCGGAAACAACTCAAAACATGTTCTTTTTATTTACTTTAATTAACAATAATTTTTTTTCTATATTTTCCCTCTTTGCAGACACCACAATTCTATAATCCTAATCAATATGGAGCTGGTACTGGTTATTAAAAAATATTTATATATAAAAAACAAACTATAATATTTTTATGTTTAATATTTTTTTAATGTGCAAATGCTTGTTTCAGTGGATGTGTGTCTTAAGTTGTTTATATAGTTTAAATATATATATTTATAATTAATCAATAAAACAAGGAACTAAACAATATAGCAAATTTATATATACACAATAAAAAAAAGGATATAAAAAATAAAATAAAAAAATGTTAAACGGAAAGTAAATATGTTTTTTGAGTAAATTTCAGTCAGTCAGTCGGATGGATGGATGATTATGCTGATGTATACATACACATATATAGCAAAAAGACATACAAATAAAGAAACGAAATTGAAAAACAAAATTTATTTAGGATTATAAAAAAATACTAATTGAATGAATGAGTAAATGTACATGCAAACAACTGATTAAAAAATATATATTTTTTTTAATTATAATTTTTTTATATGTATTTTTTATTTTCTTTTTTTTTTTTTTTGTTTTGTATAAAACTAATCTGTCTAAATATTTCTTTCTACTCTTAAAAAAATATATTCTTCCATTTTTTGATGATTTTTATATTTTTGCTTACCATTTTTTGTTCTTAAACGCCTTTAATGCGTTTCAATAAGTAATTATTTTTATTATTATTATTTTTTCATTTTGTAATTCTATGGTATATTATTATCTATATATAAAATAAATATTATAATTATTATTTAGTTCTAAATCAGTAACAACATGTAATGTTTGTCTTCTTTGTGTTTCCTTTATATTTTCCATTCTTTGTTACATTGTTCAATATTTTACAGATATCAAAAAAATGTATACTTTTTATATAGAAAAAAAATAGAGAGAACGTTTCAATATAAATTCGAAATTTTTTTCTTTACAACTTATGTATTTTCCATTGATACTGCAAGCATTGTGGGTCCTTTTGCCAGAGGATTGTGTATAACAGAATTGTTATAGTCTACTTTTACAGATAAATATGTTAGCTACAAATTTCTTGTCTTGGGAGACTTATGGTGAAATTGGGTGTAGAACAATTTTCCCATTGGTACCATCCACCTAAATTCACTTAAAAATGACATTTTGGGGGAAATTTGAAAACTAACTCTTAAAAAAGTTATATTTAAATAGTACCCATTTTGTTGTTGCTATTTTCGTGTGTTTATAATGCGAATACTTATTTTATTTCTTTGGAGACTCATAATAGAATTTAGTGAAGATTATTTCCTCCTTTGACATCAACTACCAAAAACTAATGGTAGTGGGCCATTTTGACACCAACTTATAATATATACGAACTTATCCTCAAGTTTGTTTGACCAAATTGTCACAGATTTTTTACACAAAAATATTATAGCTACAAATTTAATGTCTTCGGTGACCTATGGTGAAATTGGTTGTAGAACACTTTTCCCATTGGTACCATTAACCTAAAACCAGGTAATGTGGGAGATTTGGAGGAAATTTGCACAATTACTCTGAAATGGATATATTCAAAAAATAACTATTTTGTTGTTGTTATTTTAGTGTGTATATAATACGAATACGTATTTCATCTCTTTGGAGACCCATAATAGAATTTAGTGAAGATTATTTCCACCTTTGACATCAACTCCCAAAAACTAATGGTAGTGGGTCATTTTAGCTCCAACTCAAAATAAACACGAAATTAACCTCAAAAATTTGTGTGGCCAAATTGTTACAGATTTTTTACACACAAATATTATAGCTACAAATATAATGTCTTCGGTGACTTATGGTAAAATTGGGTGTAGAACACTTTTCCCATTGGTACCATTAACCTAAAACCAAGTAATGTGAGAGATTTGGAGAAAATTTGCACAATTACTGTGAAAAGGTAATATTCAAAAAATACCCAGTTTGTTGTTGCTATTTTAGTGTGTATATGTTACATATACGTTCTATATTTGTTTTGAGACTCATACTAGAATTTCTTTGACATCAACTCCAAAATATTAAGGGATGTGGGCCATTTTGACTCCAACTAAAATAACCTAATAACATAACCTTTAAAAATGGTATAACCAAATGTTTAAATAAAAAATTCTCTTAAAAGTCCACTATCCATAGCTAATATATATATATATATATATATATATATATATATATATATTTCTATTTATTAACAAAATTGCATTTGTGATTGTGCAATACATTTATTTTATATATATATTTTTTAGATTTTTTATTTTTATTATTTTTTTACTTTAATATGCAGTTGATATTATTTTGTTTCTTTCTTTTTTATTTTTATAATTTCTTTTGAATTGTACACATATATTAGATTATTCTTTTTTATATTATCACTAAACCAGGTGCGGGTTATATACATAAAATTATTTTTTTAAATAATCTACATTATTACTTTTTCAATATTTTCTTCAAATGATCTTTGTTGTTCCATTGCGAGAAATAATGAAAAAAAAATAATTTTACTTCAGTTTAAGTCACAAAATTTGTTAAATAATATTGTTTCTCTATAAATATAAGATACGAAAAAATATTTACACAAAATTAAAAAAAAAATAAAATTTATAAAATTACTATAAAAATGAATTTCAGAATTATTTGGTTACCATTTTTCTGTTTTCTTTTATAAAAAAATGTTTACCTAATCGTAAATAATGGTAAATAAAATTGAACTAAAATAATGGTAAATAAATTTAATAAAAAATTAAAAATTGACATCTTTAAATATAAAAACAATAAAAAAGATATGTTCATATATTTAAATGTAATATAAATAAAATTATTATTAATAAATTATATACAAATTATAAAAAGAACATAAAATCCTGTTTTTAATGGCAACACAAAACAATTTATTTAATTTGGAATTTTAAATTCTTAAATTATAGAATATTAAAGTAATGATACTAAATAATAATAATAAATATAAAATAATATATTGGAAATTATTAAAAAATTGAAATAGAATATTTTTGTCGCTCCAGACATGTCAATATCTGCAAAGAAAAAACGAAGTCAAATGAGAGTTATAAAAGTGTGTGTGGGAGAGAGAGAGTTAAAAATAACCATTAATTACACTGTGGGACAAAATTATTTTATTTTTAATTACGGGAAAATCCAGCAGACTGTGAAAGTAAAAATAAAAAAAGAAGTCAAGTGTATCGGCGTCTTGAATGTTTATATCGCAAAGTAACCTAAATAGAGGAGGCAAGTTCCCCCGTTTTCGGATTAAGATTCATCGGAATCCATACATTTTAGGGGTAAAATGTCTTCGGCAATATTGCTGATAAAAATACGGGGAATGTTTCAGTCCAGTATTTTAACCCTTAAGCGAGTCAAGAAAGGGGTCTTTTTGGTGCTTTTTTATTTAAAATATCGTTAAAAACTTCTAATAAACGCGATCGTAGCCAGTCAAAAATCATTTGTCATAAAATTCTAGGCTCTAGAAGACGTGAAGAGTCTAAAGTTTACTCAAATGTCAGGAATTCTTATATATAAAACAATTTTTAGAGTTAAAGCCACACTTTCGCGAGTTTAAGCAATAATCTCCAATAAAGCATCATTTTTAAGGGATGACGTCAAAGACAATAATGACGTAAAGACAATAAATATTCTCTATAAAATTTCACTATAGGTCACTAAAGCAAAGAAATCTGCATTACCTCTACATATAAAAATTTGAATCGATGTTCACAAAAAAGATCCCGAAAATATTCCTTTTTTATTTTTGATAGATTTTTCCTTGGACTTTTTTTGGTTAAACGCCTGAAAATAACAAAAATTTTCGTTTTAGGCAAAAGTTTCCAAAAGAAGAAATATTCTACACAAAATTTCACTATAAATCTCAAAATAAATCATGCATCTAGTTACAATAGTTTTTAAGAAAATTACATTTAAAATTTATAGATAAAAAGTGGAAATTATGTGTTTAGGTTTTTAGCTGCTAATTTAACACGTTTCCATTCCAAGTGAAAATGTCCCTGTATACTTGATTTTTTGGGAAAAATGTCAATGGAAGAATTATTCCTCATCAAATTTCACTAAATGTCACCAAAGAAAAGAAATCTCTATTTCCATTACATATCCAGAATATAATTGCATCTGTTTGGAAAAAACTCGAAAACATTTCCTAATTTTTTTATTAATTTTTCTTTGGACCTTTTTCGAGTTGATGCCTGAAAGTAACATAAAATTTCGTTTTAGGCAAAAGGTGCCAAAAGAAGAAATATTCTATACAAAATTTCAATACAAATCTCAGAATAAATCAAACATCTAGGTACAATAGTTTTTATGAAAATTGTATTCAAAATATATGTACTAAAAGTGAAAATTATGCCTTTCCTTTTTTTACTGTTAATTTAACACGTATCCACTGCGAGTCAAAATCTCCCTTTAAACTTAATTTTTTGGGAAAATTGTCAATGGAAGAATTATTCTACATCAAATTTCACTAAAGGTCACTAAACAAAAGAAATCTCTATTTCCATTACATATCAAGAAAATAATTGCATCAATTTGGCAAAAAACTCGAAAACATTTCCTAAATTTTTGATCAATTTTTATTTGGACCATTTTCGAGCTGATGCCTGAAAGTAACATAAAATTTCGTCTTAGGCAAAAGTTGCCAAAAGAAGAAATATTCTACACAAAATTTCAATATGAATCTCAGAATAAATCATATATCTGGGTTCAAAAGTTTTTAAGGAAATAACGTTTAAAATTTATTGATTAAAAGTGAAAATTATGTCTTTGCTTTTTTTATTGCTAATTTAACACGTATACTTTGCGAGTCAAAACCTCCCTTAAAACTTCATTTTTTTGGGAAAGTGTCAATGGAAGAATTATTCAAGATCGAATTTCATTGTGAGTCTCTGAACAAAAGAAATTTGTATATTCAATATTTACCATGAAAAAATGTCACCATTCTTTTATATAAAAAAAACAGAAATTTGGACATATCAGTCCAATTTTTGGAATAGTCCGCTTGTAAGGATAACTTCGATTTCAAACATTTTTACCTTTTTGGTCATGTTTTCCATTTAATTTTGCCCTACATTTTGGTATTTTTAACTCTTATTCGAAATTTAATCCTAAGCTCTCTAGATCCCTGGCCTTACCTATACCACACAATCCCAGAAAATCCATGGAACAAACATTACGATTCTGCCTACACCTGGAACAGGGTGTACCCGCAAGGAATTCATGGCTCAACTGGGTGGCATTATAAGCCGGATAATAATAGCAAACTATGAGGTAAAGTGCAGGAGCAATACTAAAAAGAAACGTCTTTTAGATGTTATTTTGAAAAAAACCCAATGCATTCACCTGCCGGCTCCACAGCCCACAAATTCCACTGAAGGCCATATCATTTGGGAAAAATTCTCCATTGTTGTGGCATTATTTTCCAATAGATATTCTTCGATGGTGTTGATATTATAACCAATTTCTAAATACCATGAACGTACAACCCGTCCGGGCCAACGTTTGGCTAAACGACGTCTGAGGCAATAGTTTTGGGCAACTCTTAGTCGTTGTTCGCCGACTATCAGGCAGTGGTCTTTGTTTATCTGACAGGTTTGTAAATACAGCATGGCCATGGTTTCCAAATCACGACTCCAGTGCTAAGGAGAGAGGGGAAAGGGGGACATATCAAGGGAATATTTAAAAACCATTCCTACCACCAAATTCATATTGGCAATATGCCAATCTTCGGCCACCTTGTTGCGTATGCCATTATGGCCAGCTATGAAGATACGTTTCCATTCATTTGTTAGCTGCACATGCTGGTAATTGGAACAGGGTTCCACGGACTGCTTCGGAAAGAAAAATATTAAAAATATTTTTCTTTTGACATTGTTTGAACCTACCTCCTCACAAAGAAAATGACTTTTATTATCGGCACATTTGTAATTTTCGGCGGGACATAAATGTTCCGTTTCCAGGGGTAATTGAAATTGATATTGTTGATAGTTTCCAGCAGCTGGGAAATTAATTGATAATGCCATCAATAAAATTTTGCAGAAAAAATGGGAGGAAATTAATTTCAAAGACATTTTTGGGTTATTTTGGTTTTGACCTGGTTTTTGCCACAAAACTTCAAATTTCGGTAATGACTTCAAAGGAGAAAATATTCGCCACTAAATTTCACTACATTTTTTAGGAATGGAGAAGTCTCTAGATTTTATGCTTAAACATAAAAATTGCATATCAAATTGGCCATTGGGTGAATTTTTGGGAAATTTAGTCATTTTTTTCCAAATGACCTAAATTATCCCACAGTCCCTCATTTTAGGTGGCTGATGTCAAAAGTGGAAATGTTCCACATGAAATTTACTACGTTTGTCAGAAGAAAAGTAATGCTCATATCGGATAAATATATCATGGAAAAATGTCGATCAACTTGGCCATCTGGCTAGTTTTTAGGTTAATTTCATGATTTGTATATTTTGTCCTATTTTCAAGCGAAAACTTTGTTTTATGGCCATGACCTCAAAGGAGAAAATGTTCTAGCTCAAAATTCACCATGGGTCTCCTAGGAATAGAATTTCCTATATGTAATAAATATCAGACAAAGTGAAGTCTCAAATTGTACGCCTTGCAATTTTTAGTATCAACTTCCTTATTGATCCTTAAATATGAATATTTCTCGAACTATCTTCCATTTTAGCGCCAAGGCTTTAAAAGAGAAAATGTTCTACTTGAAATTTTACTATGGGTCTCCAAAGACAAGAAATCTCTATATGCTTTACATAACAGTAAAACCCCAGTCACAATTAGGGCATTTTTATAATTTGTAGTAAAATGGCTTTTGATTCCTGAATGGGCTTATTTTTTCTACGAACGTTCCATTTTCCGCCGTGACCTCAAAGGAGAAAATTTTCTAACTCAAAATTCACCATGGGTCTCCTAGGAATAGAATTAACTATGTATAATAGATATCAGACAAAGTTACGTCTCAAATCTTACGCCTTGCAAATTTTAGGAACAACTTCCTTATTCATTCGTAAATAGGCCTTTTTCTCCAACTATCCTCCATTTTAGCGTCAAGACTTTAAAAGCGAAAATGTTGTACTTGAAATTTTACTGTAGGTCTCCAAGGAAAAGAAATCTCTATATTCTAAAGCATATCAGCAAAACCCCAGTCACAATTAGGGCATTTTTGTAATTTGTAGTAAAATGGTTTTTGATGCCTGAATGGGCTTATTTTTCCTAGGAACGTTCCATTTTCCGCCATGACCTCAAAGGAGAAAGTGTCCGAACTTGAAGTTCACTATGGGTCTCCTAGGAAAAGAAATCCCTATATCTTTTAGATATCAGAGAAAGTTATGTCTAAAATTGGACACTTGGGAATTTTTAGTATCAACTTCTTTATTAATTTTAAAAAAGGCATATTTCTCCAACTATCCTTCATTTTAGCGCCAAGACTTTAAAGGCGATAATGTTCTACTTGAAATTTTACTTTGGGTCTCCAAAGACAAGAAATCTCTATATGCTTTAGATATCAGGAAAACCACAGCCCCAGTTAGGGCTTTTTTTTATTTCATATTAGTTAATGGAACGATTTTTATTGTGATTGGTCAATAACCACGTTTAGCCCAGATGAAAATTGGATCTAAATGTACTTCTATTCCGATATTATACCCCCCCCCCCCCCCCCCCATGAGAGTTCATAATTGACGTTTTTTATATATTCATAATAAAAAAACAGAAATCAAAATATATATATTTTTTATATTTATTTTTCAAAATAAAATCTAAAAAAACTTGACTCTCTATTTTAGACCAGACTAAGTTTTAGATAATAAAGCTGTTTCTTAAACGCTTGGCCTGACCAAAACGCTGCTTCCATTAATGGGGTAGCCCGTACTTTTACCTGATGCACCTTTGGACTACCTTTTGGAATGTGCAGCGGCATTTTCATTATTCGACGTTGGCATGCAATTTACAATGAATTTATTCAACTCTTCCGAATTGTTGCTTACATTAGCTATGCATTTGATCAAATTGTATCCGATACCAGCACCATAACCACTATATGTAGGCATGATAATTATGCAATAGATAAACCTATTTTTGGGATGTGTCGATGTTTCTAAATTTTTTGATGCGATGGGCCTTTAACTGTTCATATAGACTCTTTTGGGGTACACATTTTGTTTCTTCTTCCATTTCAATGAGTATACCAATTGGCTCCTCCTCTTCTTCTTCGTTGTCAATATCATCATAATGTAATGTATTTGTTGTTGAAATGCTGTTCGGAAATCCTGACGTATCTAAAGCATTTTCAGTGGACTCCGCATTATTGTCCGAGGTAACGAAGTATGGCTCAGCAACCACATAATGATTATAGTGTGACTCTGTACCAGCATTTAAAATACTAGAGCTTAGGCTAGATAAGGCACTCAAGTCTGTTTCCGTTTTAAGACTATTTGGTGATAATTGAGAATTATTCGGTGATTCACTTTTAAATTCCTGATAATTTGGTTCAGCTTCCAATGGGAGAAATTCTGGATCATAATTATTTTCCGATTTCAAATTGGCAGGAAAAGAAGTATGATTTTCTGAATCGAGAGGCGTATGGCATTGTGGATTTGAACTTTCTTCCAGAGAATTATCATTTAAAATAATATATTTATTGTCGCCACACCCTGTGTTGGTATTATAGGATAATCCATATTATACGTGACTGGCATTGCTGTAGAGGGTTCAGCAATTTTACATGGCATCGAACATACGCCTGGTATTGGAATATTTGTTGGATCATTATTAAACCCCTGTGGTAAAGTTTCAACATGCTGAGAATTTATAACATTTTCTTCTAAACGTTTGTCATTTCGAATATTTGCTTTCCTTTTTCGTCTACTTTGCTTTGCTTCCGCCACCGCCATTAGTTTCTTTTGTGATTTACCCACAAATTCTTGGAACATTTTGAATTCCATAATACATTTACAGCACTGATGACAAATCCAACGGAATGGTTTGGCCCATGCCAAATTCAAAAACTGCAAATTATCAGAAATCATTAAGAAACGCTTTAAATTCTATTATCGACATTCTAACTTACCACCGATGTGAAATACAGTTCCACAGCTTTGTATATTTCATTGGGATCGTCATTTGCACCAAACAAACAAAGGTTATTATAATTTTTGCAAGCACACAGGCGGCAATAATCCCTCATGGTCATCTTGGTGGCAATTTTACGTGCATTGATCCTCTGGCTATCTGTAAAACACGTACGTTAAAGTAAACTTATTGCAATAACATTCCAAACCCCAAAGGAATGCGATTAGAGAAGTGAAATCTCTTTGCTTTTTACAACGTAAATTTAATATTTACAAAATTCGAAATGAGAATGTGAGTCAACTCCACCCTTATCCGTTTAAACATCGCCCAGCAGGATATGGGCAATTCATTTTTTTCTCCTTTATATCAATGTTATTAATGTTATTACTTCCATTCACAATTTCACAATTTCGTTATGATGCTCTGATTGTCATTAACAGACTCTCTTGATCCAGTTGCTCTTTAAAATCAGTAGGCACAAAAACATGCTCTTTTTATTCTTTAATAATTTTAATAATATAATAATATAAATCGGCTTTCAATCATTAAACAAGTACCAATATTATATTATATTATTTATATTATTATATACCATTATCCTTAAATTGTTAATTAATTAATTATCTTCTTAATCATTGAAGTTTAGTAAACAGAGAGAGACATACCGTTGACGTTTACGGGAGTATCAGTCCTGGGATCAGTGTTGCCAGTATTTTTCTGCCTTTCGTCCCCAAAATCAAAAAAACGTTTTCCCCAAATATCCATAAATTTGATTCGATTTCCTCAAAAAAAAACCAGGCATTTAAAAATAAACGAACGAGTAAATTTATTTGATAAAATATTTGTACATAGAATTTATATATATTATATTATATATTATACATATATATATATATATATATATATTATACATGTAAAAGAACATAAAAATAGAAAATAACAAATAAATAGAACATTTTAATTCCATAGACTAGAGTTTTCAAAGTTGCAATGCAACCACGTCAAAAACTTCAAATTCCAAATCGTCAGCATTTTCAGTCTCATTTGGTTTATATAAATTCTTATAATTAAAACACTTTAACATTTCTTTGGTAGGCTCAGAATTTTTGCAGCAAATGGAATTATTTGATAATTGAGTATTTTTACCATGGTGCAATTAAAGGGAGTTTGGTAGAGCTAACAGCTGATTACAATTTTTTCTAAGTGTGTCCGACTTCTGCCAATTTTGTGTATGTATTTATTGTTTTAAAAAATGAAAACAAAATATTTTCAAAACCAATGATTGGAAGACACGTATATTGCGGCTCGCGCATTTAAGCTATTAACCAGTATAGCCATGAAATTGAAATATTGAACAGTTAGGATCATATTTTTGAGAGAAAATCCAGACAATTTATTCATTTTTAGCGCTATTGAACTCATTTAAAAAAAATTAGGAAAAATATGAAAAAATGAAAACAATAATTTTGAATCAGTCTGACAGGAAGCGGGCATATCCTCAGGGCTTTATTTTTGTAGTTTTACGAAGCTGTTCTACCTCCTTATTGTACCATGCGTTTTTACTGGGTTCATAACATGGTAGAAAAATTCAGGTAGATGCATTAACGTTTGGGAGCATTGATATGTCAAAAAATTTTAAATTTCTTTTCAAATATAAGTAGATTTTTATATGTTTTCTTATACGACACAAATCGTGGGTTGTAAAGATATGCATTTTTCAACACAAATTTAAACAATTTTTACAAATTTAAACAATTTTTCATTCAACATTTTCAATTCCAAAATTGGTTTGACAGTTCATTATCCCAGCAGCTGCGTCGATGCGTCTACCTATATTCTTCTACCATGGTTCATAACTAAAAAAACTCGTTCTACACATGAATCGCTGGTTGGCACCCTCTATGTGCCATGCAACTTTTATCGCTTTTTCGTCCCCAATTTGAAAAAATATCGCCTTTTTGGGGAAAATTCCTCAATACTGGCAACACTGCCTGGGATTTATAAAAGTGACGCCGTTACTTTGTGAGTGAGTTGAATAAAACGAATGTTAAGATGTCAATTGCGGTTACTTGGCTGAACAAACTTAACAAAGATATTAATAGAGGCCATTGAAACTAGGGTTTCAAAGGTCAGAGGTGGTCAAAAGTGGTAAATAAATATGATGAAAGTCTTTGTGTCTGACCTTTGGGTTTTTGCGCTTTACCGCCATCAAACGTCACAGTCCAACAAAATAACGCCGTTATCGAAGTAACAGTGCAACATGGTACTCTAAGGCATGTGTCAAAAACAAGCAGTAGACAAGTAAACACAGTTTTCTTCAGTGTGTACCCAGTTTAATATTCTTAACGGCACCAAAATGACGACCTAAAGCCGGCCGATTTCTTCCTCAAGTTGAAGGAACTTACTCCCACGGTTCATTTAATAAATGGTGGTCTAGCGGTTCGATTTCCTCATGTCTCATTCGTAAACAACAGAGGTCCCTCGGGGATTTTGCTTTCTCGTTCTTTTTTTATCGGGCGTTCCTTTTTGACTTCTTCAGAAGTATGGTAAAAGCATACAGGTAGTCGCATCGTATAGCTGCTGGCATGGTACAACAAAAATGTAAGGTAGAGCTACCAGTCGATAAATTTTTTTCTAAGTATGCCCGACTTATGGCAATTTTGTGTATATATTTATTGTTTTGAAAAATAAAATCAAAATATTTTCAAAATCACTGATTGGAAGAAACTTATATTGCGGGGCGCGCATTAATGATATTAACCAGATTTGCCATGGAATTGATCGATTGAACAGTTTGGACCATATTTTTGAGATTAGGCATTTCGTTCATTCTTCGATCTAGTGAACTCATTTTAAAAATGAGGGAAAAATATGAAAAACAAGTATAAAACATCAAGTTCGGCTTTTAATACCCTCCACTTTGGGGTAAAGGAAACAATAGAACCCGTTGTGACCCCAAAATACAAACAAATTTGTAGACAAATCTGTGAAAAAAATTTGACAAAATCATCAAAATACCGAATATAGGGAGGTACCGTTATATGGGGGCTATACGAAGACGTGAACCTATTCAGATAATTTCCTGTCCTAGGCTGTAGTATCCATTTCGAACTTCAAATATCAAATTTGAAACAATTCCGGTGAATTATGTCGCTAAAATCATCAAAATACCGAATATTGGGATGTACCGTTATATGGGGACTATACCAAAACGTGGACCGATATACCGATCATTTTCAATATCAATCATCCTAGGCACAATACATGTTGTTCTGCTAAATTTTGACGCTCTGCATCAAATAATGTGGGCTGTATCGTGATTTCAGCAGACAGACGGACGGACATCGTTAAATCGACTCAGAATTTTATGCTGATTATTAATATTAATACTTTATGGGGTCTACGACAAATATCTACCAATATATATGCAAGTACATAAGAAGCTTGGCTTGGCATTTTTTGTGACATTTCATAACGGGATTACAGAGCCGCACTAAAATCCTGCCGGCGTTTTTCATTATAATTTGACATTAATATGCCTAGTCATGACTTCAAGCTTTTTATGTACTTGCACCCTTATAGTACCATGGCTGCTGGGACAATGAACTGTCAAACCAATTTTTAAGTGAAAAATTATAAAAAATATTTAAAAATTGTTGAAAATGCAAATCATAACAACCTCCGATTGGTGTTGTATAAGAAAACTTATAAAAATGTATTTATTTTTGAAATAAACATTTTAAAATTTTTTACATATCAATGTTCCCAAAATGTTGATACCTGTATTCTTCTACAATGCTGCAGAGTTGTTATACATATTCGCCACAAAAAAATTCTTCTGTCAAGGCGAAAATATTTATTTTCGCCTCAAGCATGAATTTTGACATTTCGAGTAAACACAGTCGTCTCTTTTGTCTTTTTTCCTCAAATAGATGTAAATTCTACATTATTTTAACATAAATATTAAAAAATACAAATAACAATTGTTAAGTGAGTATTTAGATTAATTAATTTTCTACTGAATACTAAAATTTCAATTTTCTTGCCTTATAAGAAAAATAATAAAGAAAGGGAGTTCAGACTGTGCCTGCTTTGGCTTGTTGTGGAAATGTAGTTGTTTGTGTTTGCCTGATTGGCTTTGCATTTGCAATAGAAGCATTTCATTGCTCCCGTAATATTACAAATAATTAAAAAGGATTTAGTGAAATGATATATAGCTCAACTTCCATCTTCATTACCATCGTGTCACTTCCATTGAAAAAGAACTAACAGATGGACACACAAAAAATCAGTGAATGTGACGCAATATTGAGGAATCGCCAGCGGCTTGATCTGGATAAAAAAATAAACTTGGATTTTGTCGCCATATATAGTAAACAATTAGTTTATGAACGGGAATAGTCCTGAACGTTAGGCCCATGTAGAGAAAACATTCCCCTGAGTAGTATTGGTTAATAATCCCTCGCACATATTTGTAATGTAACCTTTTGGTAAGTTTCCCTCAAGAGTTGTAAATATGAGCAAATCTCATCACACCTCTATGATATTTGCAGGAGTTGAAAATATTCAGAGTTTTTAAATTTTTCTTTATCTTAAAGTGGAGAATCAGCTTTTCCAACAAGTTGTAGACTACTACAATTGATGTAAAAAATCTGAAAATATGCGAATTTATGAAAGCGACTTCCATAGGTTTAAAAAAATAACATAATGTTGTATCAGGTTATTTTTGGAATGATCGTAAATGGATTAGAGGGTGTAGCGATAGATATAAATTATAATACCAGACTCCATTGTCTACACTTGACATTTTTTCTTATATCGATAATGTATGAGCCTAAAAGTATGCAATATTTTTTAATTTGGAGCTTGCAATATTGCAATAATCTTTTCAAATTCCAGCTAATAATCTCTATCTCTTACCATTTTCTAGGATATTTGTTCATCCCCCCAAGATTTAATCATTCCCCGCAAAAACGTAATTTCTATTTTTCGCAAAAATGTCTACCGAAATTACCTGCCGTTTATGCTTAGAATTTTGTAAGGATGGTTATTGTGATCTTTATAATGAATATTATGATGGGGATATGAATACAACGATCACAACAAATGAGGTGTTTGAATTAGTTAAGAAATATTTTCCCGAAGAGGTAAGTTCAAAATAAATACCCATGAAGATTTTGTAATAACACAATCATTTTCATTCTGTCCCACAGCTCTTGAATATGGACTGCAGTAAACATTTAACCAAATTATGTCTACAATGTTGGCATTATATTGAAGAATTTCACAATTTTCAAGAAACCATAATAATGGCTCAGAGCATGAAAATGAGTGAAAATTTCCACATTGTCGAAGAAGAACAGCAGGAGTGTGAAGAGGTAGAAATGGAGATGCAGGAAGAGGATGAAGAGGAACAACAGGAGACACAGAGCTATGTTTCGGAAGTACCCATAAAATTTGAAGAATTCAATATTTGTGAAGTGAGCTCCCAAGAAGTAATGTCCCATGTTGAAAAAGAAGAAATTCAAGATGACGAAGAAGTTGTGGGTGATGAATTCGTTGAGGAAATTGTCGATGATTATATTATGGTTGATAACCCAGAGAACACAGAAACCTCCAACGAGGAAGACAGTGAAGATGATTATGAACAAAAGGTGGAAACCACACGTGATGAGACAACACATCTTACCAATTTATATATCACCGAAATAATCGAACATGAGGATAGAAATGTGACAGTTCAGCAACGTAATACAAAGGAGTTACAAACCATTGAGGAGTATGATGACTTCATTGCAAATTGGAAATCCCAATTGGAATGTGTAATTTGTTATGACAGTTTTGAGACCTACTCCCTGCTCTGTGATCATTTTAAAGAGCAACATCCCGAAGAAGAATGCCACATAGTTTGTTGTGATTTAAGGCTGCAACAACGTTGGGAAATTGTAGAACACATTCTGTATCACAAGGCGTCGTCAAGTTCCCAAAAGTGTGATATCTCTTTTGAAACTGCAGTCCAGGACTTACCGGCCAAGAAACACTTCCGACAAAGATATGCCAGTCGAAATGGCGAACGGTTTGGTCAAAGGCAAATGAAAAAAGACAAATTGAAAATATATAAATGTAAAATATGTGATAAGGTATTTTTCAATAATGCTGGACTGAGAACTCATCGTGAGGCGGAGCATCAACAACAAACCGATATTATTTGTACATTTTGTCCCCAGACATTTTCCCAGTTTACCGCCTTTCAGTCACATTTAAAAACCGAACATCAGCAGGAATGGCAGATGAGACGTAATCAAGAGGCAATCGAAATGTTGCCCGAGATACGTAAACATCTGGCTGGAGCCAAGTTGAGCCAGAAAAACAAACTCTCAAATGGCCCACGGAAAACCAAGCAAATCATTGACTCATCCTCAGACTGTAAATGCCCCATCTGTGGCAATATTTATCACTCCAAGCGATATTTGAGGGCCCATCTTGCCTTGCATGGAGGCAAGGCCATGTACCTGTGCCAATTCTGTTCTAAGTCATATCATCTGCCCAATAGCTTATCCTATCACATACGTCTTAAACACAGTGGCCATACGGAGGTGGTACAAATGAAATGTCACATTTGTAATAAGATTTACTACACGAAAAAGGCCTTGCGACAACATCTCAGCATGCACGAGGGCAAGCCGTCATTTTCCTGTAAAATCTGTTCCAAAGAATACTTCTTTAGTTCGAGTTTATCGAATCACATGAAATATTTCCATGCACCCAACCTGAAGGAAGCCAAAGCTAGGGCCGCCAAATCCACGGGTTACTCAGATTCAGAAGAAGGAAAAGCCAAAAGAAAAAACCGTGGCCCACCCGAATCAGATCCAATGCCCTGCCATATTTGCAACAAGGTTTATTACACCAAAAAAGCCCTAAATCAACATCTGAGCAAGCACGAAGGCCGGCCATCCTTCACCTGTAAACTATGTTTCAAACAGTACTACTTTAGTTCGAGTTTCTCCAATCACATGAAATACTTTCATGCCCCCAAAAAAGAAACGACCGACTCAAGCAAACACAAAGCGAAAATGTTGGCTCTCGTCGAAAAGGCCCTGGCAGAGGGTAAGACAATATATAAATGCAATGTCTGCGATAATGTCTATCAAAGTCGTCGCACTCTAAAGGAGCATGAGAACACGCATGGAGGTCAACAGTCATATACGTGTAAATTTTGTCCTAAAATGTACTATTTAAAATCGGCCATGTACAATCACATGAGCAAGATCCACAACTATCAACCGCGTAAGGAAAATTCACTGAAAAAGGCACAGAAACGGGCGGCCCAGGATAACAACGAGTCATTGGATGATTTGGTCGAAGATCTCGAGATGGATGAAACGAAAAAGAAAACATCAGCAAAAGGTCGCAAAGCATTATCCGAGAAGTTCAAGAACAGTGGCTTGAAATGTGCCACATGTGATAGATACTATCAATCGAAACGTAGCCTGCGCGAACATGAGGCCAAACACACCGGCGAAGAGTTGTATTCTTGTAAATATTGTGGAAAAAAGTTTTTCCTCAAGTCCACCATGAGTACGCACATTAAGAAGCAACATCCCAAAGATAGTGGCGCCAGCATTCAGACCAAGGAAGAAGATACAACGGCGTGCTACGATGAGGAACAGCAATATGCGGTGACATCAATAACGGAAGAGGAAATTGATGTGGTGACAGAGGAAGTAATCACATCCACTAATGTTTAGGTGGTTTGAACAAAGAAACGGAAGTTAGGAAATGGAAGTTTGGGGAACATGGTATTTCCCCCAGGCTTATTGTTATTATTCAGGACACCAATGTTGAGGGGCATGTTGCTCGCCTTGCTGATATGGTGATAATACCTCACATGGTATTTGTGTGTTAAGTCCACATAAATAAAAAACAAATAATTTGTTGAAAATAAATACCTTTTTTTATATTCTAATAAAAATTGTTGTTTTCTTTTTGTAATTCAATGGCAAAACTTTGTGGGGGAGGTACCAGAAGGAGTGGACCGATATATCCCAATTTCACACCAGACCTTGGGTTAATAAAAATATTGTGATGTGTGTAATTTGAAGAGAACCACATTCTTATTTCGGATTTTATGATCTTTTTGCTTATTCAAAACATTGACCCTTTGTGGGGGAGCTACCAGAAGGAATGGACCGATCTCTACCATATTTATAAAAGATCTGATGTTAATAGAAATATTGAGATGTGCCAAGACTGAATGGAATCCGATGTTAGTTTCGCGTTCTATGAGCTTCATGGATATTCAAAACTTTGGCCCTTTGTGGGGGAGGTACCAGAAGGAGTGGACCAATATATCCTATTTTCACAACAGACCTTGGGTTAACAAAAATATTGTGATGTGTGTAATTTGATGAGAATCATATACTTATTTCGGATTTCATGATCATTTTGGTTATTCAAAACTTTGACCCTTTGTGGGGGAGCTACCAGAAGGAATGGACCGATTTCTACCATCTTTATAACAGATCTTGTGTTGATGGAAACATTGAGATGTACCAAGTCTGAACGGAATCGGATGTTAATTTCGCATTGTATGAGCTTCATGGATATTAAAAATTTCGACCCTTTTGTGGGGGAGGTACATGAAGGAGTGGACCAATATATCCTATTTTCACAACAGACCTTAAGTTAACAAAAATATTGTGATGTGTGTAATTTGATGAGAATCACACACTTATTTCGGATTTCATGATCATATTGGTTATTCAATATTTTGACCCTTTGTGAGGGAGGTACCAGTAGAAATGGTCCGATCACTATCATCTTTATTACAGATCTTGTGTTGATAGAAATATTGAGATGTACCAAATCTGAATGGAATCGGATGTTAATTTCGCGTTTTACAAGCTTCATGGATATTCGAAGTTTTGACCCCTTATGGGGGAGGTACCAGAAGAAATGGACCGATATCTCCCATCTTCATACCAGACCTTGTGTTAGAAGAAATATTGTGATCCGTGTAATTTGAAGACAATCGGACAATTACATCACACTTTTATAAGAGTTTAAATTATTCACAATTTTGACCATTTGTGGGGGAGGTACTGGATGGAGAGACCCGATATTGTCCATATTCACCCCTGACCTAGCTCTAATGCAAATATTCAGATTTGCAAAGTTGGAACAAAATCGGATTATCCTTTGTCTTTCTGTGCAGTAAATTATATTCTTGGAATGTCTTGATATTTTGTGTGGGAGGTACCAGAAGGAGTGCACCGATATATCCTATTTTCACACCGGACCTTGTGTTAATAAAAATATTGTGATGTGTGAAATTTGAAGACAATCGGACACTTACATAACAATTTTATAAGAGTTATAATTATTCACAATTTTGACCTTTTGTGGGAGAGGTACTGGTTGGAGTGGTCCGATATTGTCCATCTTCGCACCTGACCTAGCACTGATGCAAATATTAGGATTCGCAAAGTTGTAGCAAAATCGAAGTATCCTTTCACTTTCTGTGCAGAAAATATATTTTTTGAAAATTTCGATATTTTGTGTGGGAGGTACCAGAAGGAGTGAAATGATATTGCCCATCTCCGAACTCGATCTAAGTTTGATAATAATATTACGATGCTCCAAGTTTGGAGCGAATCGTATACTTCCTTCGAGAGTTATCGTGACCACCAGCCAGACAGATCACTATATCGGCTCCAAATGTCCTGAAATGGGAGAACCCAAAGAGACCTAGGGTCTAAAACCTTTATTTGGATGGGGCACGTTTTGGCCGTATCAAATGATATATACCCTCCCACTCTAGCCATATGGCAGAGGGTATAAAAAGTGTTGTTTTTCAATTCAACGGCAGGATAATGGCCAGGAAATATAATTTTTAAATTTTCAGAAAAAAAAAATCAATCGCGTTAATTTTTGGAAATATCAAAAAACATTTTTGTTCCAGAACTGCAAGAATGTAAGAGGTTTTACTACGATAACCGATTTTCCCCTTTTTGATATCCAAGAAAATTTGCAAAAATAGTGGATTCTTGCAGGTACTGGAACAGTGCAAATATACAACAATAACAATAAAAATTTTTTTTTTTTTTAAATAAATAATATTATGATTTTAGGTGGATGGACTTAAAAACATATTTTCGGGAAAAAATTATAATGCACTTGCCGAGAGACGCCTTCCTTGTTATTTATTAACCAGAATATGTTTTCTCTTGCATACTCTCTCTCCCTCTCTCCAAATTTCTCATTGTTTACAAATGCATTTAAATCAGGCTCAGGCAGAGAATTGCCCGTTAAGTTCTCTCCATTTTTTTACTCTCTGTTTACATTGTTCTTCGATGGTTCTGAGTATGTGTGTGGAAAGAATAACGCACTGACAAGCTGCCTTAAAGCCATAAACTCCTAATTAAGTTCCTCCTTTTAATTTCAGGAATTTTTTTTATTGTTTTTTACTTTAGCGCCTACCTGTCCTTCCGCGAATCATAAAACTGCGACATTCGCGAAGGCGGGAGAACACGCACACACCATTTTTATTGGCATTTTCCCAGTGACTTTGCATGGTGGTTGACACAAAAATTATGGAAAAATATTGTCGCCTGTGTGCTGAGGTTGGCACAAATCATCACTGCCTCTACACCGTCGATGGTCGTCCAAATCAAAGCCATAAACTTTTGGAAAAATATTTCCTTCCAGCGGTAAGTTTGCAAAGTTAATGGCAAATTTAAAATTTCCCACTAAAATATGTGTGTGGGTTTTCCCTAGTTTTTCCAGGTGGAATGGTCGAATTCTTTCCGATATGTGTGTCGCCAATGCGAGACCTATCTGGCAAACTTTAACAGCTACCAGGCATTTGTGTGCCAGGCCCAGAGGAAACTTATTAAAGTTGCAGCAAAGAGTATTCCCAACGAATATTGGAACTCATTCCGGGGTTCCGTAACGGCAAATGATTCGAAAAACAATATATTGCCAATAACAACAGGTTCAGTTGGATTTACCCCAAACTTGTCTGGGATGCTTGAGCTAAACAGAGATTTACAACATTTGGCGCCCAACGCCAACGGTCTGGTAGATTCAAACGCTGTTTTTGAGTATTTTAAAGAGTTGGGGAGTTCGGAGACGAACAGACAAGACAGCAATGCTCAGCATTCGAATACTACTGCTACTACTGAAAATGTGTCACCCAATGTGAAGGAGGAACAACCAGCGTTTTTCCAACGTTCCAATGTGGAAGCCAATGTAGCAACAGTACTGGCGCCCAATGTCCGAAACTTATCCGGTCAAGATTTTAATATGCAAAATCTAAATTCCTCCGATCATACAGGAAATTTAGAAACGCTGCCACCCAATGTCAATACAAATTCATTTCAACACAGCCACCAAAGAGAAATGTTGGCGCCCAACGCAAATGTGTCCGGTAATGGAAACAATCAAAGCCAACAATTGCAACCGGGGAATGACGACTCCAAAACATTACAAAATCTCAATTCTTCGGAGAATACAGGAAATTTGGAAATGTTGGCGCCCAATGTTAATTCAAATTCATTTCAGCACAGCAACCAAAGAGAAATGTTGGCGCCCAACGTAAATGTGTCCGGTAATGGAAACTATCATAGCCAACATTTGAAACTGGGGAATGACGGCTACAAAAAATTACAAACCGTGGCGCCCAACCATAACAATGTTGGGGATCAGAATCCGAATTGGGAAAAATCAAATGTAAACAACAATGATTCACACCAATTGGTCCCCAACGTTAATAGATCGAAGGACCAAAATATTTATCAACAAAATTCAGCGTCCGACGCCACCGCAACGTCTAGTGCCTTGCAAAATCCCAGTGAGGTTACAAATTTGGCGCCCAACTCAAATGTTTTTAGGGTTCCAAACTCGGCAAGCCAATATTCAAATGTGAAAGATTTGGTTGCGACGGGCAATAGCATTAATTCTGGAAATCTGAAATATGATACCCAACATTTCAATGACCAAAATTCACAAATTTCACAAATTTTGGCGCCCAACATTAACACACCCCCAACTGGAGTGATTGTTCGAACCCAAAATACAAAATATTTGGCGCCCAACGATTCCATAAAACAAAACCATGCAAATAAACATTCCAAGGATCTACACCTATTAACAAGGGATGCGAACAGGTCTATGGGTCAGGATAATGCCACTCGACACCTCAATGAGGACTTAATTTTGGAAAATCAATATTCAAATGAAAATATAAATCAATTGAATATTTTGGCGCCCAACGTAAATGATAAAGCGAGTGGGGATCATGCTTTGGATTTGAATCCCGGCATTAAGAATTTGGAGACCCGAGACAATACTAAACAAGTTGGGTATCCAGAAAATCCCCAAAATCTGGAGACAAACCCAAGCGCTTCTGCAGTCATTAGGCTTACACAATCGGCGCCCAACGTAAATAATTCTGAAAAAAGAGACGGTCCGGGAACTTCTCCAAATTTGGCGCCCAACGTCCGTTCACCTGTAAGTGCAGCCCAAGAGCCTGCAGATAATCCACAACAAATGGCGCCCAACGTGCATTCACATCTAAGTCCAACCAATGAACCCGTGAAAAATCAAAACGATCCAGGAGCTTCTGAAAATTTGGCGCCCAACCTCCGTTCACCTGTAAGTGCAACAAAAGAGCCCGCAAAAAATCCACAACAAATGGCGACCATCATCCATTCACATCTGAGTGCGACCAATGAGCCCAATGTTAGCGCTTCTGGAAATCAAACCCATGACAGTCATCCTTCAAATATTGAGAACAAGGAAGATTTGGCAAATATGGCGCCCAACGTTAAAACACATTTACCTCCTGACATTGGACTTGCCAAACGCCAAAGAAGGCATAGCCCCCTCTCCAATGACGGAGAACCAGAAAATGCCCACCATCAAGATTCTGATGAATCTGGAGATTTTTCTTCATCTGCTTCGGAATGGTCGGGAGGAGAAGAACAAGAAGAAGAAGATAGCAATACCCCCAGCAATGCTAGCGCCAGCGATGGCAGTTCCGATGATGAGCTACCCTTGGCGGAGTATAAACAAAAAAAGAATCCTGGTAATCTCGGAAAATCATTGCAGGAAAATACCATGGCACGGGGCTCTAATGAAAATCCAAGGAAAAGTCCAGCATTTGAGCAGGAAAACGGACATAAAACCGCCTATGATTTTGATATGTCCGATGAGGAAAATTTGACAGTCTCCGAACGTCGTTCTACCAAAGCTCAGCGGGAGATATCAGGCCAGGATGTTCAGTCCCAAAATAAAATATACAAAACAGCTTACGATTTTGATGAGATCGACTCGGAAATAGGCAATGAAATCAGCTACTCCGGGGAACCCTTTTCGACGAATGATAAACCACTTAAAACTGCCCTCGATTTTGATAAATTGGATGAGGACATGAAAGAAGAGCCACCCGAGGAAGAAGGGCAAATCCAAGGAATTTTGTCCAGCCAAACAATAGCGGACAAAGCTGGAGGGGAAATACCTCGACGTAATTATATTGAGTCCCTGGAAGACATGTTCGAGAATGACAGTAAACAGGAGCTGCCATACAATATCCGACAATTTCCAGCGGCCTATAAATTTGATTTCTCCGACGACGAGACATCTGGCGATGAGACGTATTTCAATAAATCTGAAAATCAATTGGGCGCCAAATCCAAACGACCCCTAAAAACCTCATACAAAAAACATTTGAAACGACCCGCCACCCGTGAAGAATATGACGACTTGATAGCCAAATGGAGACCCAGCCTGGAGTGCAGAATTTGTAAGGCCACCTGTGGCAGATTTCAACAGCTGCAACAACACTTTGCCGACCATCACCCGGACGATGAATGTTACGTGGAGTGCTGCCAACTTCAGCTAGGCTATCGCTACAAAATCGAAAAGCACATCTACTATCATCGGGTAGAGGGCGCCTTTAAATGTGAAGTTTGTTTTGAGATCTTTACGAGCAAATACAAGTTGGGTTCGCATCTCGTTCAGCGCCATGCAGCGGGGGGAGAACCCAAACCAAAAGAGATTCTCAAATGCAATATCTGCGGCAAGGAATACGCCACCCAATGTCGATTACACACGCATCTTAAATATTGTGATGGAAGTGAAGTCCCGGAACCCGGACGCGCCAAATGTAAAGATTGTGGAAAATCGTACAGGTCGCAACTTTTTTTAGAATTGCACCGACGCAAACATCACAGGAATAAAAAAACGTTCCCCTGCCCGGTTTGCGACAAATTGTTTGCGAGCAAACATACGTTACACTATCACAGTTTCACCCATGCCACCGAACGTAAATTCGTCTGTTGGGTGTGTCAGAGAACCTTTAAGGTACCCTGCATACTGCGTGGACACTTTAAACACTGTCACGTCGAGGAGTACAAAGAAAAAATGCGAAAAATTAAGGAGCTGCGCAACACGAAAAAGACCTACAAGTGTGATCAGTGCGACAAGGTATATCAAACCTCTATGGCCCTCAAGGAACACAAAGCCCAGCATGAGGGCATTAGCGCGCTCTACAAATGTAAATATTGTAGCAAAGAGTATAAGTACAGTTCGAATCTGTCGGCCCACGTCCAAAGGGTGCATCCGACAAAATACCAGCCGAGGGCTAAGAAATCCAAAAAATCGAAAAAATCTAAAAAGAAATAGATACAAAATAATTTTATTGGATTTACTTTTTCAATGGATATAAGAAAATTAAAACAGGAAAAAAGAAAAAATAAATTAATTTTTAAGCCATGTCTTTTTCATTTTGGTCGTAGGGTGGGATCTCTGTAGTTTGTTTTGATCTTTTGGGGACATTAAATGTTGGAAAAACATAAAGCAAAAAAGGTAGTACCAATGGATTCTTGAAGGGCAATAATTGCTGGGTTCCCCTTAAGGAGAAGAAAGTGAAAAAACCCCTAAAACTATAACTAAATCTATTAAAAATGTTAAAATTAGATGGCAAACCGCCAACACATCAGGGGTCATTCGATATCAAAATATATGATCCAAACGAATTAGAATTCATTAATTTTATCTTGCCTTAATTAAAAATTTCAGTAAAAAACACAAAATAACAAAGGTTAGAATTGAATACCAGAATTTTCTAATAAAATTTTCTTTTTTTGTGATATTTTTCGATGGGAATCAACATATCCAGTCATGTAGTCTTTAAGAAAAATTGAAAAAAGTGATGAAAGTACTATATTCTTTCATATTCTGAAATCGATCTAATGTTCCCTATCAGCTAATGATCTTTTTGAGAGTAAAACTTGGCATCACTTTGCAAGGCGGCAAAATCGAAGTCTACAAAAGTTGAAAATACGACGCCGTTGCAATTACCGCAAAATGAACTAGTTCCATCGGCGTCGAATTTTTCGGTTGCATGGTACAGTTATGCTAGGAACACAATTGGAGCGAACGACGAATTTTTTCGCGGCGTATGTTCGTCGTCAAAAATAAAACACATATGTGTATATGGAAGTGCACACAATCACGGCACCGGCGAAAATTTCGTCGGTCGCCGCGAACTCAATTAGCTTTATTTCTATTTCATACGCCGGCGACCGGCGAACAAAACAGTACAAGGTGGCCATACTTGTACGAATTTTATGTGTTTTAGTAAATAAAGTTACTTTTTACTTTAAAATTTGTTATGGTCACTCTACTATCTGTTACTCGTATAAAAAAAACATAATTAATTTGTTTATTTATTTGTGTACTTGCGCCTGAGTGAAGATGGATATCAGTGAATTTATAATAGAGAAGATGGACATAAGTGAAATTATAATAGAGAACGTAAAGAATTATGTGTTCTTGTTTAATTCATTGTAGTCAACAAATGAGCAAAAAGTAAACAACTTCATCAGCTGTTTTATAATTTCGTCGGTATTGTGTTCCATACGACGAATTTTCGCGGCTCATTTTGTCGCCGCGTAGGGCGAAATTCGTCGTTCGCTCCAATTGTGTTCCTAGCATTAGGCGTTTTAACACAGAAAGAAACTCTTAGAATATACCACCAACCATGGCTCAACCAGAAAGGTTGCTCAACTTCAAGAAACTAGAAAAAATACAACTTTCAACAGAATACTTGTAGTGTCGAATTGACTTTTAAATATGCAACAATTTGTTGTTGAAAAAAACAGACAAACATGAATGGAATGTTGGAGTTATTCCACTAAATTTAATCTAAGATAGTGGGCCATACGTTTTTATCCCAAAATTGTATAGTCGATATGCGTTGACAGAATAGTGGCATGTTTTGACAGAATAGTATCACCAAAAAGAAAAAAAATGTACATTCGGTAATTGTGCCAAAATTTCATCCCGCTTTCAACACCTGGAGATATTGGTCGGATACGCCACAAGGGCATATATCTATGATCAGCTTAAAATTCTATGTCAATTTAGCCATGTCCATCCATCCGTATGTCTGCCAGTCTGTTGAAATTACGATACTATTAAAGAAATCCCAACTATGGATATTTTTAAATAATTTTTTTAACTAATATGCAAGGCGACGATTTTTTTAAAAAATATTTTCGAACATTACAGGCTTGAATTTAGAAAAAAATATTTTTTTCGTACAATTATGACAGGCGTGGATTTTGAAAAAGATTTTTTTCTTTAAATTTTGAAATTCGTGGATATAAAAAAATATATATTTTTTTCGTTAAATTATGAAAGGCGTGGATATAAAAAAAAATATTTTTTTTTCGTACAATTATGACAGGCGTGGATTTTGAAAAAGATTTTTTTCTTTAAATTATGAAAGACGTGGATATAAAAAAATATATATTTTTTTCGTTAAATTATGAAAGGCGTGGATATAAAAAAAATTATTTTTCTTTTCGTTAAATTATGACAGGCGTGGATTTTGAAAAAAAAAATATTTTTCGTACAATTATGACGGGAGTGGCTTTTGGAAAAAAATATTTTTTTGTATAATTTTGAAAATTAAAAATATTTTTTTGTACAATAATGGCAGGCGTTGATTTAAAAAAAAATAATATTTTTTGGTTTAATTTTGACAGGAGTGTATTTTTTTGAAAAAAAAAAAAATTTCGTACAATTATGATTGAAAAATTTAATTTTTTTTAAAAAATCCTTTCTCTGCCTGTTATACAAGGCGATGATATTTTAAAAATACTTTTCCTAACTGTTATGCAAGGCGAGGATATTTTAAAAATATTTCTCTAACCTTTGTACAAGGCGAGAATTTTTTAAAAATATTTATTCTAACTGTTTTACAAGGCGAAGATATTTTAAAAATATTTTCTCTAACTGTTATACAACCTTGGATTTTATTGATATTTGGATATTTCAAAAATATATTCCTTACTGTTATACATAGCGGGGATTTTCAAAAATATTTTTTCTAACTATCATACCAAGCATGTATTTTTAAAAACATTTTCCAACAGTTACACAAGGCGAGTATATCTAAAAAAATTTCTCCAACTGTCATACAAGGCGAGGATATCTTAAAAATACTTTTTCCAACTGTGGATTTTTAACAATATTTTTTCAAACGTTATGCATAGCGGGGCTTTTTAAAAAATATTTTTTAGTTTTTGCACGCAACGTTAAGTATCTAGCCCACTAAAACCATTAAAAATAACTATCCATTACAGAATGTGAACCACCCTATTGTTAAACTTATTCAAATTGCAACGGCGTTACGTGGATAAGCCGTCACTGGAATATTGTATACTAGTTTCGCGCTCATTTTCATGAACTTGGCGTTGTTTGGTTGATTGCGTTTTTCTCATGTCTCATTCGTAAACAAAGCTTTTCTTGGCGTTATTTATTGCCCTGATTCGTAAACAATGGATGTTTTTGGATATTTTATTTTCTCTTTATATTTTATCGGTTCATTATGTTTTGCCTTATTGGGGACGTTTTTTATTTTGATGTTACACAGATGGACATACATACAGACAAACATTCATCCAACTACTTTGGTCCAGGAAAGAGGCGTTGTGAAATATAAACAATTTCTTGGAGCAATTAACTTATTTATCAAATGTAATTTATTGTAAGTGATTGAATATTGTTATTTTATGGTGTAAAAATAAAATGTTTATTTATGATTGTTAGAGAGAGAGAAAAGGAGAGGGTTGAGAATGGATAATCAAGCAAATTGGAATTGCGAAACAATTCCTTTTGTTATTTTATTCTCCTATTATTTGGAAAGAAAAGTCCAGGGATCCCGAATATTTCCAGGAGCCAAGAGAAATTCCCGTATCCTACCCCTTGTCTCAATTTGTACACTTAAAACTTTACGGGCAAATCAAAAGAACATCTTGCCAATTTCATGTCCAAACGTGTCGAAGCATTCAGAGGAAATACTCGGCAATAAGAAAATAATTGTGTTAGGAACTGAATATGGACTGTGCGTGGCCTCTAGAACATATTTCGAAATCATTTTTGGGGATTCCTTGTGTATATGATGTTCCATGCCAGTGCAGAGCTAGAATCTAAGTGGTTTTATCCTTTTGTCCATTTCCAGGGGAAAATTGCAGAAATTCCTCTCAAAAAGTGTTTTTCGTGGAAAAGAACAAAAATGCTCCCCCTGCCTACGTCATTACCATTCCGTCTGCTCAAGTACCTCAGAAGTCATCTTTGAAAAATTCCGAACCTGCTGCAAGGGATTTGATTTTTAATTTCCTGCCTTAATGTTTGCAACATATTTGTATCACATGCATATGGAGAGTCCTTTAATTACCCATTAAAAGAAAATTATGTATTTATGTTTAATATTTCCAGGTTATTTCCCAGATTCCAATCGCCGTAGAACAAAATGAAATCTGAGATAGTATGCCGTTTATGTTTGGAATCATGTAATAATGGCTATTGCGATCTTTACAATCAGGATGTTCAAAAGGATTTTTTGACATCTACAAATGAGATTTTTGATATGGTCAAAAACTATTTTTCCGATGAGGTAGGTGATCTTCGAAAAATAATATCAATTTTTTACCTATAAACCAACCTTTACTTTTTTTCAATTTCCTTTAGTTCCTAAACATGGATTACAATAGGCATTTAAGAAAACTCTGCATACAATGCTGGCAGTACATTGACGAATTCCATAAATTTCAAGAATCCATAATTTTACTACATACCATGAAAATGCCTGAAGTGATAGAAACGGTGGTGGTGGATGAAAACAAAAGCTATCCAGAACCGGAAGTGCCAATAAAAATGGAAGAATTTACAAGTTGTGAGCCAGATACCCTGGAAGAGGGAACTGAAATTCGAGATAATGTAGAGGCCAATGTAAACGTTTGTATTATAAAGCATGAAAATGAAACGCAAAAATTCACCACACCAGAAATTAAATCGGAATTCCCAGAGGAAAATATTGGAGATTTAGACAGTGGTTCGGTGAATGAAATTCCCATGACGGAGAACAAACAAAAAAGAAAAACGCTGAAAGTTAGAACATTTTTGCCGGAAACCCCCGAAATAGAGAGTGGATCTTTTGAGTCCCCTGACGGAAACAGCCTTAGCTATTTGCAATTTAATCCAGAGGGACTTCGAACGGCCTACGATTATGATATATCATCCGATGAGGAAATCAGGAAAGAACACGAGAACAGTTTAGTGGAGATATCAGACTACATTGCCTATGCCAGAGATGGTATATCTAAAACACCTTTGGATTTTAATGAGTCTGAAAGGAACATTAAACAAGAACCCGAAACCGATGATTATACTTCAAATGACGAATTCGACGATAAATCTGATGAGGATTTTAATATATCCAATGTTTCGAAAGATTTATCCGATACTGAGTCTAGTATTGGAGAGTCTTTAAAAGATAGGCCCAAGAAACAAAGTAAAATTGGGCGGGAGAAATCAAACCAATTCCCAGCGACCCACAAATCTGATTTGCCCATTACACTGACTTCTGATGAAGAAAATTGTCGAAGTTTAGAAAATCCAACGAGCCCCAAATCCAAAAAGCGTACAAAATTTTCCTATAGGAAATATTTGAAACGTCCTGAGACACGTGAAGAATATGACGACTTAATAGCCCAATGGAGACCAAGTTTGATATGTAGAGTTTGCAGTGCCACCTGTAGCAGATATACCCAGTTGGAGCAACACTTCACCGAACAACACGCCAACGAGGAATGTTACGTTGAGTGCTGTCAACTTCAGCTTCGCTATCGCTACGAAATCGAAGAACACATCTACTATCATCGTGTAGATGCATTTAAATGTGAAATTTGTTTTAAATTTTACACTTCCAAAGGCCCATTGCAGGTACATCTGTTTCAGCGCCATGGCCTGGGCGAGGAATGTAAACCAAGAGAGTCTGCCAAATGCCCTGACTGTGGAAAAGAATATGCAAGTCAATATCGATTACGAATTCATCAAAACTATTGTGAGGGAGAAGAGGGTCGGGAAACTCGTCGCTATACATGTCCAGATTGTGGAGCTGCATATAAATCGAAGTATGTTATGAAAAGTCACCGAAATCATCATCACCAGGCCAGAGGACTCTCCCGTTGTCCAATTTGCGACAAAATGTTAACGACTAAATCGGAGGTAACGAGGCACCTACGCACCCATAGCTCGGAGCGTAAATATGTTTGTCAAGTGTGTCAAGATGCTTTTACAAATCCCGACATGTTACGTTCACACTTTCGTCGCATTCACGTCGAAGAGTACAAGGAACACCAGAAAAAGAAAAAAGAGCTGCGCAACGTCAAGAAGACCTACAAGTGTGATCAGTGCGACAAGGTATATCAGTCGCCAATGGCCCTCAAAGAACACAAAGCCCAGCATGAGGGCATTAGGGCACTCTACAAATGTAAATATTGTACCAAAGAATATAAATACAGTTCGAACATGGCGGCCCATGTCCAAAGGGTTCATCCGACAAAGTACGCAGGAAATGTGAAAAAATCTAAAAAATAAAAATCAAGATTTTTATTCCATTAGGTATAAGACATTTTATAAGACAGAGCGAAGGAAGGAAGGAAAAAAAAAACGAAACTAAAAAAATACATATTGTAAATATGTTTATTGTTTAAACATTTCTTTTTTATTTTAACCATTCTGGGTAGCGTCTAAAAGTAAAGTAAATGATAAAGAATGCATTAAAAACCTATTCGGTCTGTTCCAGAAATGCAAGAATGCAAAAGTTTTTACTACGATAACCGATTTTTCCTTTATGGTACCGAAAAAAAGTAGATTCTTGCAGGTTCTGGAACAGAGCAAATATCATAATAATATTCAATAAATTTATTTTAAATATATCACAAAGATTTAAAGCATGATAGCTCAACAAGTTCTATGTTAAATATTGCCAAGACAAGAGTTTTCGAGCCATCAACATGAAATCGATCGTTTTCTACAACTATCTTTTGCATTTTTATAGCATACTTTTAGACTCTCCCCAGAATTTAAAAAAACCATATACTAGAAGTATAGGCTAAATAAAAACTAGTGGCAATTTATAATATATTGTGTATATAGAATAACGTTATTTTTAAGTTAAAAATTGTTGGAAGCTCCTTTAAATGTGCTATTAAAATATGGAGTAGAATTTACATAAAACTCTTGCATCATGTAGAATGTGGCCTTAACATGTTTAGCCCTGTTCCATAAACAAAAGAAATGTTTTCAACAATTTAATTTAATTACTTTTTCAATCAATATTTTCAATTCAAATGATGTAATATTTCCAGTAAATAATTAAAACAACCATTTTCACATAACATGTGAACCACCCTTTTCTTATATTCATTCACAAAGTAACGGCGCTACACAAGAATTACTCTGACATGTTACTCTGTTGTCATATGCTGCTCTCTTGAAGAATGTGTTCAACAATTTGAAATAATTTAATTACTTTTCCAACTAATATTTTTAATTTAAATTATGTAACTTTTCCAGTAAGCTATGAAGCAACCATCCACATATAGCATGCGAACCTCCCTTTTCTTAAATTCGTTCACAATGTAACGGCGTTACACATGAATTACTCTGACCATGTCTGTTGACATATGTTGCTCTCTTGAAGAAGGCTTTCAACAATTTGAATTAATTTAATAACGTTTTCAATTAATATTTTTAATTCAAATAATGTAATATTTCCAGTAAATATTTAAAACAACAATACACATATAGCGTGTGAACAACCCTTTTCTTTAATTCATTCACAATGTAACGGCGTTATACAAGAATTACTCTCACATGGTACTTCGTTATCATATGTGGCTCTCGTGAAAAATGTTTTCATCGATTTGAACTAATTAAATTACTTTTTCCATCAATATTTTTAATATAAATGATTTATAATTTCTAGTAAATAATTAAAACAACCATCCACATATAGCATGTGAACCACCCTTTTCTTAAATTCTTTCACAATGTAACGGCGTTACAGAAGAATTACTCTGACATGGTACTCTAATATCATATGTTGCTCTCTTGAAGTAGGTTTTCAACAATATGAACTAATTTAGTAACGTCTTCAATTAATATTTTTAATTCAAATGCTGTAATGTTTCCAGTAAATAATTGAAACAACCATCCTTATATAGCATGTGAACCACCCTTTTCATAAATTCTCCCGCAATGTAAGGGCGTTACACAAGTATTACCCTGACTTGGTACTCTATTATCATATGTTGCTGTCATGGAGGAGGTTTGTTTTTTTGTGGAATTTTACTAGAAAAAATCTAAATAATATGTTGTGAACAATTAATTTGTTGCTAAAAAGGAATTTTGTGGTACAAATCCAATATAAAAGTATTAGTTTATGGTGTATAAATGCCAAGGGATAGCATTTTTGTTGATAATTATTGTGGGAGAGAAGTGCAGTGAGAGAGCGAGTAACGGCATGCAATTGTGAATGATTGTTTGTTATTGTTTACATTTTGAAAGGAGGCATCCTCAGTATATAAGCTAATCAGAAATCCAGGATTGTCCGGGCAGTGTATCAAATTTAAAGTGTTTACATTTTGTTCTGCTACAAGTCATGTCTGCCAGTATCAAGCCCAGTTGATAGCTAATATTGGGGAAATGCAGGGATATGTTTATAAAGGAAAAGTTGATTGAATTTCCGTGACGAATTTAATTTAAATTTTCAGAATATGAACTAACGGCATTGGAAATCATGCAGGACTGTGATTGAACTTGTGTGCTCATATGTGCTCCAGCGTAAATCAAATATTTTTTAAATTAGGGGAGATATTAGTTGTCCCCCAAGAGTTTGCCAGAAGTACCTCCCTCCCTATAGAGTCTTTGACAACGCAGGTATTTGGTATAATTTATATTTCTTTTAATTAAAACCAAATATTTTCAATACCTATTTTCAGAGTATTTCCCCCACAACAAAATGCCTGCCCAGCCAACCTGCCGTTTATGTTTGGAATATTGTACTGAGGGCTATTGCGACCTATACAATGAGGACTTCCAGGTTGATTGTGAGACAACAGCAGCTACAGCGGCAAATGAGGTTTTCGATATGGTCAGGAAGTACTTTCCAGAGGATGTATGCAGCAAGAAAAATTTGAGTGTTGTAAATCTTAACTTTATTAAAATTATTCCTTTCTTTCAGGTATTAAATATGGATTGCAATAAAGATCTCCGGAAATTATGTCTACAATGCTGGCATCATATAGAGGAATTCCATAAATTTCAAGAATCCATAATTTTGCTACAAAATATGAGAATGAGTGGACAAGTTATAGAAATGGTAGACGTAATAGAGGCCTATGAGCCGGAGGTACCCATTAAATTTGAAGAGTTTAATATTTGTGAGCCAAAGAACACAAACGACAACACGGAACAGCCACAAGAAGATGTGCAGAATATTGTGGAGGAGGATGTAAATGAGTTTGTTGTGGACACACGTCTCGACTCTGCTGAGGAAAATGAAACCGACAATTTTATAACAGAAATGACTGAATCAGAATACCACCTAGAGGCGAATACGGAAAATGTAAATACCGAAGATTTAGATGAATTAATTTCAAAATGGAAATCAAATCTGGAATGTATGGTTTGTGGTGAAAATCACGATAGGTTTTCATTGCTGCGCAAACACTTCGAACAACAACATCCCCTGGAAGAATTCTGTATAGTCTGCTGTGGCTTGGCACTGCAAAACAATTTCGAAATTGAGGGACACATTTTGTATCACAAGGCCTTAAACGAGTTTCGATGTGACATTTGTATGAAACGTTTTGCCAATCGATCTTCCACAAAAAGGCATTTCAAAACTAAACATGCCATGAATTTGGCTGCTAAACATGACACGAATTTGGCTTCGCGAAAGCACATTAAAAAGGAGAAGGAGAAATTTAAACTTTATAAATGTAAGACGTGTGATAAATTGTTTTTGGATAACATGGCAGTTAGGGTGCACAACGAAACCGAACATGGCGGCCAGCAAAGGGAAATTAGTTGTAAATTTTGTCACGGAACATTTGCCGAATATGGAGAATACCAATTGCACTTGAATCGGGAACATCAGGAGGAGTGGCAGGCCCAAAGGAATCAGGAGGCTATTGAAATGTTGCCGGAAATACGGCGACATATGGCGGCAGGGGTTAAATCGAAATTCTCCAAGATCCAAAAGCAGGCGAGACCCATCAACGATTCATTGGCCAACTGTAAATGTTGGATCTGCGGCAATGTTTATCATTCCCGGCGTTATTTGCTGGCCCACATTAGCCTACATGATGAGAACAAAGAGGCCAGGTATTCCTGTCAATACTGTTCGAAAAAATATCACCTACAAACAAGTCTCTCCTATCACATACGTCTCAAGCACGAACAACGTGACGCTGTTAAACCCCTGAAATGTAAAATTTGCCACAAGGTGTATTACACCAAGAAAGCAATGCGCGAACATCAAAGCAAACACGAGGGCAGACCCTTATTTTCTTGTAAAATTTGTTCCAAAGAATATTTTCTAAGTTCCAGTTTGTCCAGTCACATGAAAAGTTATCATTCGGGTGGGGTGAGAACCCGAAGAAGGGCATCGATATACGAAGAGGCTAGACTAAATTCAAGTGGCACGGTGGCATCGTATAAATGCCATAGCTGTGATAAAGTCTATCAAAGTAGACGAAGCCTCAGGGAACACGAATCGAAACATTCGGGCTACAAGGCCTACAGCTGTAACTTTTGTTCCCAACAATTCTATATGCAATCGTCCATGTACACACACATGAAAAAGCAGCACTACAGCCTGTATCAAAGGAAACTCAAATCGAAGCTTTCGAGAAGACCAAAAGAAAAGGTTACAACACCGAAAAATCAAAGCCTGGATGACTTGGTGAAAAGTTTGGATATTATGGCTCAAGTGGAAAATACTAAATCACATCAGCCACGAGAAGCCTGTAGTACCCTCAAATACTTTGGTTTAAAATGCCGAACCTGCAATAAAATCTATCAGTCGAAACGTAGCCTACGTGAACATGAGGCCAAACACAGCGGCAAAGAGCTGTACTCATGTCAGTTTTGTGCAAAAAAGTTTTTCCTCAAATCAACCAAAAGTTCACACATCAAACGTCATCATCCTCAGGGATGCAGGGCGGGCAAGGCAGGAGAATCTGCGATATGTAAAAATCAAGAACAAAATTTTGCAATATATTCCATAAGCGAAGTAGGAGAGGGAGGAGAAGGAGAAGTAGAAGTCAGCCAAGCAGAAAAGCCCGGGGCCTTGGAAGAAACAATTATTTCAACGACTGAAACTACTTATCTTAAAGACAATGAAGAAGATTCTTCTCTTACGGATCCCCTAACCAGGGAACCCAAAAATTTACTATCTCTACTAACAACAAATGAAACCCTAGCGAATAAGAGAAAATCACCAACGAGGAGCAGACGAAATGTCATCTCCCCCCTAGATGATCGACAAAATTATGCCTTCAAATGTTTGAAATGTGATCGTCGATATCAATCGAAACGTTCACTGCTCGCCCATCAACAGGTCATGCATGAGGGCAAAAAATCCTATAGTTGTAAGTTTTGTTTCAAGAAATTCGGCTTGGAGACCAGTATGTATAATCATTTGAGGATACAACATGCACAGGAGAGGTTGGCAGAGAAAATAAACAATGCGCAGAATTTACTGGCGGGCGAAGAAACAGATCAAACTTCATTGATTTGTAACATCTTAGATGATTATGCCAGCTAGAGGAGATGCAAGGGTGTCGGACGTACATCTTAAACATTCCAATGGCAGAAATGGAAAATAAAAAATGGGAAAAACACTGGCAGCGAGAAAAGTGATTCTCGGTCGCATTTGATAATGCCCAAGGCAATAAAATCTGCGATTCCCAAAGGGGATGGGGATGGCAATTTTTGATTTTCTAAGTAAATTAAAAAAAAATATTTATTAAAAAATGGGATTTATTATCATTTCTTTAACTCTATAAGAGTTGGATAGTTTAATTTTTAAATAAAAAAAATATATTTTTTTTTATAAAAAAATATAAATTTTATAAAAAAATATTTTTATAGAAAAAATAAAAAATAAGAATATTTATTGAAAAAGAATACAATTATTAAAAAATAATGTTTTTATAAAGAAAATAAAATAAAAAAATAATAATAAAATATTTATTAAAATAAACAAGATGTTTTTATATATTTATTTTTATTTTTAATTCATAAGAGTTAGATAGATTTTTTTAAATTAAAAAATAATGTTTGTCGCAAAGAACATCAAAAATAAATATCAAAAATAAAATTTATTAAATTGAAATTAAAAAAAATATATTTTTATAAAGAAAATTAAAAAATAATAAAAATATTTATTATAAAATTATGTGTTTATAAAAAAATATATTTTTATAAAGAAAAAAATAATGAAAATATTTATTAAAAACTAATATTTAAAAAAAATGATATTTTTATAAAATTAAAAATTAATAATAAAAATATTTAATGAAAAATAATAATGTTTTTATAAAGAAAACAATAAAAATAATTATTAAAAAAATATAATATATTTAAAAAAAATAATAATATTTAGTAAAAAAACACGATTTTTATATATTTTTTTAAATAGGAGCTATATAGACTTTTTTTAAATTAAACAATAGTGTTTTTATAAAGAAAATAAAAAAAGATATTTGTTAAGAAAATAGTATTATAAAATAATATTTATTTAAAAATAATATTTTTATAAAAAATCATATTTTTATAAAGAAAGAAATAATAATAGAAATATTTAATAAAAAATAATATTTATATAAAATATGATATTTTTATAAAGAAAAAAAAATTAATAAAATTTAATTTAATAATTTATTAAAATGTTAATATTTTTATAAAAATTGATATTTTTATAAAGAAAAAAAAATAATAAAAATATTTATTAAAACTAATATTTTAATAAAATGATATTTTTATAAAGTTAAAAATTAATAATAAAAATATTTAATGAAAAATAATAATGTTTTTATAAGGAAAATAATAAAAATTATTATTAAAAAAATTATATTATATTTAAAAAATAATAATATTTAGTAAAAAACACGATTTTTATATATTTTTTTTAATTAGGAGCTATATAGACTTTTTTTAAATGAAACAATAATTTTTTTTGTAAAGATAATAAAAAAGATATTTGTTAAGAAAATAGTAGGGTAAGTGTGCCTAAGTTCGGCATGTCCCAGTAGTCGGCACTTTTTATTTTTAAGACCAAATAAATGAAACTATTATAACTAAATGTAGTTTGTTTACTTCAAATATACTACCAGCTATCTTTTTGTACAATTTCTTTAAAAAATTAAATTTTTGTCTGTGAAGGTCCTCAACAATCCATATTCTTAAGAAAAGTACAATCAAGACGTCGAATCAGTTTAACTAAACAAAAATATTATATTTTAATGAATTAATTTATTATTATTATTAATTATTCTTACAAAAAATTTGGTTTGCCGACTGTTGGAACATGTCATACCGCCAATTGGCAAGTGGTGCCGACTAGTGGCAAAAAAGCATTGTTTTAATAAAACTACAAATTTATGAAATTTAATAAAAAGTTATTAAAACTTTATTTATTATTGCAAAAACTATACAAAATTTCGAATCTGAATAAATTAACTTTGTAATAATTGAAAAGATCCACTCAGAATGGTGAGCGATTAAAAACGCGAAAATCCTAAAAGTGCCGACTATTGGTACACTTACCCTATAGTTCTAAAACATAATAATGGAACTATTTACTAAAAAATATGATAATGTTTTTATAAAGAAAAAAAAAATAATAAAAATATTTATTTAAAAATAAAAAAGAAAGAAATAATAATAGAAATATTTAATAAAAAATGATAATGTTTTTATAAAGAAAGTAAAAAAAAATATTTAATAAAAAAATATTATAATTATTAAAAAATAATATTTTTATAAAAAAAATAAAAACTAATAAAAATATTTATTAAAAATAATATTTTAATAAAGAAAAAAAATAATAATAATAAAAATATTTAATTAAAAAAATGATAATGTTTTTATAAAGAAAGTAAAAAAAAATAACGAAAACAATTAATAAAAAATAATATAATTATTAAAAAAATAATATTTTTATAAAGAAAAAAAATAATAATAAAAATATTTATAGAAAAACAAGGTTTTTATATTTATGTTATATTTAATTTTATAAGAGGTAGATAGATTTTTTTAAATTAAAAAAATAATGTTTTTACAAAGAACATCAAAAAATATACATTTATTAAAATGAAATTAAAAAATAATGTTTTTATAAATAAAATAAAAAAATAATTAAAAATATTTAATAAGAAATAATATTTTTATTTATTATTATTTATATTTTTTTAAAGAAAAATTTAATAATAATAAAAATATTTAAAATAAAATAATATTTATATAAAAAATGTTTTTTTATAAAAAAAAAGAAAAAAAAAAAAATAATAATAATAATAAAAATATTTATTAAAAAATAATATTTTTATAAAATAATAATAAAAATATTTAATAAAAAATAATATTTATATAAAAAATGATATTTTTATAAAGAAAAAAAAATAATATTTAATAATAAAAAATTATAATGTTTTTATAAAGAAAATTTTTTATTATATTACGTAAAACTACATTCAACGGCAGACCCTGAGGCCAATAAAAATTATGGCGCCCAATGTTAACTATTCTAACTACAAAAATAACAAACCCAAATGTCAAAAAAGCACAAACTGGCGCCCAACGTAATCCAAATCTTTTTCAGCGCACCAAAGACTCAAGACTAAGGTGAGATCAACTGGTTTTAACAAGGTTTCTATAATTTAAAAATAGTAAAATTGTTTTTTATTTTTGCATAATTCCTCCCTCTCTCTCTATCCCGTTCTTCAATTGTTTTTCCTTAAGTAATTTTATATAATTGTTTATTATTTATTTTAAATATTTGTAAATGTTTTTGCTGCATTCCTCTCTCCTCAATTGTTTTCTTTAATTATTTTTACATAATTTCTTACTATTTATTATACCCTACAACACTATGTGTTGGGGGTATTATAAGTTTGATTGGGCCAAAAATATTGATTTCCCATATAGGAAAGTATATATGGATCTTCCTAGCTCGACGAGCTGAGTCGATCTAGCTATGTATGTCCGTCCGTCCGTCTGTCCGTCTGTCCATGTTAATTTGTAATCACTCTACAGGTCGCAATTATGGTCCGATCTTCACGAAATTTAAAATGGAGGTGGGGCTAGGGTCAGAATAGAACCCTATTTCTTTTGGTGATGATCGCATAATATTTAGGGGTTTAAATGGACCAAAAACTGAAAAAATTCCTGATTTTGCACTTGCTCTACAGGTCGCAATTATAGACCAATCGACGCGGAATTTCGCATGTAGCTAGAGTTTAGGGCTGGCAAGAAGCCTACCCATTTGGGTGGTCATCGGATAATATTTAGCGGGTAAAATAGACCATATCTTTTTTGTTGAAAAAATTCAAAATTTTTCATTAAACCGCGAATGTTTTAAATCCCGGCGAAATCACAAAGCCATGACAAGGTTACTTCTGATCTTTACATTGATGTTAACATCCAACAAAACGGATATGTAGAAAATATGTGCGATATATATGTTCATCAAAGAAGATATGCTTGAAAAATCTCTTATATGTCGAGAACGGCTGAACTGATTTCGACAGTTCTCATTCATTTAGAATGGCCTCTTGGCAGGAAAGAAAAAACGTCTAAAAAATCTCATAAAAATATCTCTCTAAAGATGAAAATATTGATTTTGTAAAATTTTCTCATATTTTTTCAATTTTGTCATATTTTTGGCATATTTTCATTTTGAATTAAACATTTGGTAATATTTCTACAGCTAACAAAGCTAAGTAGTTAGGATATCAGGATATCATATACAGATCGCATTTATGGCCCGATCTTTACGAAATTTTGCATGAGGGTCAGAATAGAAGCCTACTCTTTTTGGAGATGATCGCAAGATATTTAGGGGTTTAAATGGACCAACAAAACTGCAAAATTGTCAGCAGGTCGTAATTATGGGGGTTACCGGACATTGCCAAAGCCAAGCAGTTTTGGATGGCAATCCAAAAATATTCAATGTGTGAAGGAGTTTGCCAACTTTTATAAACAAAATACGAAAATGTCCATTCCAGTGATTTTTTGGACAATTCACAAATACAGGAAGACACACTTCTGACTATTTCGTTAACGCTGATTTCGTGGAAGAATATATTCAAATGTCTGTATCTTATATAGATGCGTTTCAGTCAAAAACCAATAATAAATGTTAATCTTTTGCCACTTCTGAGAGATTATAGGTCTTTGGGAAATATTGGTTCCAGATCTAGGAAGACCATTTGCGTGCAACATCTACCAATAAATTGGAAATGTGCAAATTAGTTTAAGTTGCTATTATTCGAAAATTAGGGAACGGAACCCTTTTATTATTTGTCACAATATCTTGTGGAATTCTTTCGAGTATCTCGCCTATATAAACTGTATCGTTTTTTATAGTGTTGTAGGGTATTCAACGGTCGGCCCCGCTCGACTGTAGCCTTTGCTTACTTGTTTTTTAAATATTTTTATAATTTTTACTATTTTTTTATTTTCTTTTATTCAGCATTTCTCTCTTTTCCCCCTTTTTTTATTTTTACATAATTAAATGTATTATGTCTTTGTGCATTTGTTTGTAACAGGCAAAAGGAAACGAGATAGACCCATAGTTCCTTTTGATGATCTGCATAGAATCTCATTCTGAGTCGATTTATGCATGTCCGTCCGTCCGTCTGTCCATGTATATTTGTGAACAAAGTACAATTCGCATTTATTGCCCTATCCAGATGAAATTTTGCCCAAATCATTTGTTTGGCCCAAGGACGAACCCTATTGAAATTGGATATAATCGGTAAAAATTTAGATATAGCTCCCATATATATCTTCGTCCGATTTGCCTTTTATTGTGCACCAAAGGTGTAATATCAGCCCGAATAGTATGGAATTTTGCACAGACAACCAAATTAGGCCTGAAAATAAGTATGCCAAATTTGATCGAAATCGGTTCAGATATAGCTATAGCTCCCATATATATTGCGGATGAACAATATTATAATTTGTATTTTTGTCCTCCGCTGCCGAAATATGCACTCTGTAACAACAATATTTGGGGAAATATATCAAATACAGCTCAGAAATACATTTGCTAAATTTTATCGAGATCGGTTCAGATTTGAATATAGCTCCCATATATAACTTCGTCCGATTTACCTTTGTTTGTGCACCAAACGTCTAATATTTGCCCAAATGGGATGGAATTTGGCACTTACGACCGAATTGAGTCTAGAAGCTAGTATGTCAAATTTGGTGAAGATCGGTTCAGATATCGCTATAGCTCCCATATATATTGTTCATCCGATTTGTTGTATTTATTACCCACAGCCGTAATATGCACTCCGTAACAACGATATTCAGGGAAATATGTCAAATACAGCTCAGAAATATCTTTGCCAAATTTTATCAAGATCGGTTCAGATTTGGATATAGATATCTTTATCCGATTTCAAATTAATTGTGCACCAAATTCTCTCATAAAAACTTTTAATTGTTATGTGGAGCTCTACTAAATTAGCAAAGTGGTGTAGGGTATCATAAAGTCAGCCCCGCCCGATTTTAGGACTTTTTTTTACTGGTTTTATATGTTTCTGCTCTCTCCCTCTTGCCCTTCCCTTTCTCTCTTATTATTTTATATAATTTTTAAAATTTTTTATATATTTTTGTGGCATTCCTCTCTTTCTCTTCCTCTCTCCTTTATTGTTTTTATATATTGTTTACTATTCATCTTTAATATTTTTATACATTTTTGCTGCATTTATCTCTCTCTCTTCCTTTCCTCTTATTATTTTTATATAATTATTTATTTTTTTATATTTCTATATATGTTTGCTGCATCCCCCCCCCCTCTCTCTCTCTCTTCCTCTCTCCTTTATTGTTTTTATATATTTTTTAGTATTTATTTTTAATATTTTTATAACTTTTTGCTACATTCCTCTCTCTCTCTCTTCCTTTCCTCTTATTACTTTTATATAATTATTTATTTTTGTATATTTCTATATATGTTTGCTGCTGTTCTCTCTCTCTCCCCCCTTTATTTTTTGTATATATTTATTATTATTTTTTTTTAACATATTTATATATTTTTTTATTATTTTTTTTAATTTTTATTATATATTTTTGCAGTATTTCCCTCTTTTCCTCCATTTTTTATATAATTGTTTATTATCAGTTTTAAAAATATTTTTGCTGCATTCCTCTCTCCTCAATTGTTTTCTTTAATAATTTTTACATAATTTTTATTTTTTTTTTAATATTTCTTTCCCTTATTTTTATATAATTTTTTATTATTTTTTTTTCAATATTTTGATAAATGTTTTCTGCATTTCTCCCTCTTCCCTTAATTGTTTTTATATAATATTTTATTATATTTTTAAAATTTTTATATATTTTTGCTGCATTCCTCTCTCCTCAATTGTTTTCTTTAATAATTCTTACATAATTTTTATTTTTGTTTTAATATTTTTTATATATTTTTGCTGCCCTATTTTTTATATAATTTTTTATTTTTTTTTTCAATATTTTAATACATTTTTTCTGCATTTCTCCCTCTCCCCTTTATTATTTGTATATAAGTTTTTATTATTTTAATACATTTTTGCTGCATCCCTTTCTCTCTCTCTCTTTCTCTCCCCTTATTATTAATACATAAGTTTTTATTATTTTTCATGTTTGCTGCATTTCTCTCTCTATATCTCACTCTCTCTCTCTCATTGTCTCCCTCCCTTCAAATTGAAACACAATTTAAAAAATAACGTATTTCATTTCTTTTTATTTCTCTTTCTCTTTGGTTTTTTCACCTTCCCCCGATATTTGGTGGGATGCACCCTTTGCACATGGGCCGCCATGTTTGAGCTGTACTTATACGACTTGGTACAATATTTACATTTGTACAGCGCCGTAATGCCCTCATGTTGGGCTTTGTGTTCTTTGAGGGCCGTCGAGGTTCGATACACTTTGTCGCACTGGTCACATTTCTTGTTTTTGCGTAGCTCGAATTTCTTTTTCAAATGTTCCTTGTACTCCTCGACGTGTAGCGCTCTGATATGTTCCCGCCTTCGGTTGGCATCTTTAAACGTCTTATGACACACCGTACAGGCATATTTACGCTCCGATCCATGACATAATAGGTGATACCTTAGGTTTGCTGGACATGATAAGATTTTGTCGCAAATGTGGCACTGGCTCACCGCATTTTCCCTGTGATACTGTATCCGGTGAGTTCTCAAAATTTTCTTGCATTTAAATGATTTGCCACAGTCTGGACAGGTGATGGGACGAGGGCCTTCGGCTTGGCCGCCCTCGCAATAGTTTTGATGGACGCGACATTTGAATTTTTCTCGGAATTCTTTGCCACATTTGTGGCATTTGAGTGTCTCGACTTCGGCATCGATTGGCCCCGGTCTATGGTAACGTGAATGATGCCTATCAAGACCACTGAGCTGTGTGAAGATCGCATAGCAAATGTCACATTTATAGGCGCCCTCTACCCGATGATAGTAGATGTGCTTTTCGAATTCGTAGCGATAGCGTAGCTGAAGTCGGCAGCACTGCACATAACATTCCTCGTCGGGGTGATGTTCGCTGAAGTGCAGTTGCAGCTGTCGAAATCTATTACAGTTGGCCTTGCAAATTCTGCACTCTAGGCTGGGTCTCCATTTGGCTATCAAGTCGTCATACTCCTCCAGGGTCTGGGGTCGTTTCAAATGATTTCTATAGGAAAATGTTTTTGTACTTCTTGGGGTGTTCGTTGAAAAATGTCCGCTGTTTGCGAGCTCATCATCATCGGGGGAATCATATTTATAGGCCGCCGGTGGGCCTAAAGCCGTAGGCTGGGAGAATTCATCCCATTCATCTTGCGATTCATTGAAATTGTGGCCATTGGAGGTTGGGTCTTGTGTTTCCTCATCGGATAGATCAAAATCAAAGGCTCTCTTGTGGCCTCTAATATTTGGGGGGACCTGTTCGGTTGGCATATTTCCTTGGTTTTGGGAATAATAGATTTCCCCCGCAGTTTCATGTTCTCTTTTAATTTTCCACACAGGCTTAGGAGAAGGCGGGGGCTTTGCAGAAAAACTACTTCGGGGGAAAAAATTCTCCCCTGAGGCCTGGCAAAAACTTCCATCAACTTCGTTCTTAATATCCTCATCGGATACATCAAAATCATAGGCAGTTTTGTGGCGTTTGGGATTTTCTGTGGGAATTTGGTTTTCAAAATGATTTCTCTCCTCCGAAGCCCCATTTGTTCCAGGATTCTCATTGGCCCTGCTTCCGATCATATTTTTGGTACTTTCCTGCAACGATTTCCTTTGGTTACTTGATCTTATTTTTTGTTTATATTCCGCCAAGGGTATATCATCATCATCTGAAGTGTTGCTGTCATCACTGGAGGCATAATCATCACTTTCACCTCCCGACCACTCCGAGGCTGATAAAGAAAAATCTTCATTTTCTTCAGAGTCCAGGAAATATTCATTTGAATTCTGCTCCTGGATTTGAGACATTTCCGGTTGCTCAACATTAGAATAGGGGATAGAAGTTGAATTAACGTTGGGCGCCATAATTTGTGAAGCTTCGGAGACTTTATAACTTGGATTTTTGTTGGGCTCTGGGACTTCCGTTGAATGTGGATTTACGTTGGGCGCCATAATTTGCGAAGAGTCAGCTACATCTTTATTTGGATGTTTGTTGGCATCAGGAATGGCAGATGAATGTAAATTAACGTTGGGCGCCATAAATTGTGAACCTTCGGAGACTTTATAACTTGGATTTTTGTTGGCTTCAGAAATAGCAGATGAATGTAGATTTACGTTGGGCGCCATCATTTGCAAAGATTCAGCGACATCTTTATTTGGATGTTTGTTGGGCTCTTGGACTGCCGCTGAATGTGAATTTACGTTGGGCGCCATATTTTGTAAATCATCGAAGCCTTTTTTATTTGAATTTTTGTTGCCCTCATAGACTGTCGTTGAATGTGGATTTGCGTTGGGCGCCATAATTTGCATAGCTTCAAGGCTCTCAGCTTTTGAAGGTAGATTAACGAGATCTAGATTCCAAGAATCACTTATGTTGGGCGCCAAATGTTGCAGATTTTCGTTGAGCTCATTCTTTGCAGTTAAATGCGAGCTCACATTGGGCGCCATATTTTGCAGATTTCTCTGGAATTCGTCATTAAATTGATGGGAGCTAAAGATATGATGCCTAGAACTGATGCTGTGTTCATTGCTTGCGGTTGAATGTAAATTTACGTTGGGCGCCACAATTTGCATAGCTACAGGGTTTTCAGAATTTGGTGGTAGATTAACGAGATCTGGATTCCTAAAGTCACTTACGTTTGGCGCCACACGTTGAAGATTAGTGGCGTACTCATTCCTTGCTGTTGACATCGGATTTACGTTGGGCGCCATATTTTTTAAATTTCTTCGGAATTCGAAATTTTGTGAGGCACAGACTTGTTTCGCATTGGGTGCAAAAGGTTGCAGATTTTGATCCGTTGAATGAGATTTCACATTGGCCACCATATTTTGTAGATTTTCTGGGTTTCCGATATTTAAATTAAGAAACTCACAACCTTGATTCCTGGCACTACCAGTATTAGGTGCCAAAAGTAGTAGATCTTTCACCTGACTATTGCCTATAATTGACGGCGAGTTTAGGTTGGGCGCCATATTTTGTAAATTTTCGGGGTGTCCGACATCTACATTTTGCAAGTCTCTGTCCTGATTCTTAGAAATATAGGGGTTGTCGGAATTATTGATTGCTGACGAATGCAAATTAACGTTAGGCGCCATATTTTGTAAATTTTCTGGTTGTCCAATATTTAAATTTTCCAAGTCTCCGTCCTGATTCCTTGAAATATAGGGGTTGCCGAAATTATTGATTGCTGACGAATGCAAATTAACGTTGGGCGCCATATTTTGTAAATTTTCTGGTTGTCCAATATTTAAATTTTCCAAGTCTCCGTCCTGATTCCTTGAAATATAGGGGTTGGCGGAATTATTGGTTGATGTCGAATGAGAGGCAACGTTGGGCGCCATCACTTCTTCAGCCCTTGGGTCCTCAGCATTTATGTGATATGTCTCAGAAAAACTTTCTTTAGAATTATTCCGATTAGGCATCAAATGTTGCCCATCTTTGGTGTGTCCCATGACGCCAGTGGTGGGGAAGATATCACCTGGTGCGGGAACCTCTGAATTTTCTAAATATTCGGCATTTGAATGTGGCTCATTACAGTCTGGATCCTCAGTACCATTGGACTTGGCTTTGAAATTTTTTGCATGCTTCCTTACCAAGAATTTTCGATCTTTTAAAGAATTAACGTTGGGCGCCATTACTTGCAGTTCCTTGAAATTTTCATTTGGGTATTGGCTACTCGAAATATTGGCATTGGATGACACGATATGCTCGAAATTCTCATTGGAGTGATGTGGAGGAACACCGGCTGTGTCCTGAGATTTATGACCTGCCAAGGATAAGTTTTGTAAATCCTTAGGGTTTCCTTTGTAATTTTGTTCCTTGACATTATTGACGTTGGGCGCCAAAAATTGTGGATTTTTGAATGAATTATTCCTGCTTCGAACATGGGGCACCTGGGCATTGGCCGACAACATTTGTAGGACTTTGGTGTGCGGAAACATTTGAAAATCTTTGGTGGGCTGAAATAGTGGTGGGTTATCGTTGGGCGCCATTTTAGACAATTTTAGAGGGAATTCGGCTTTGGAGTTTTTATAGGCGGAGGAGTTAACATTGGGCGCCAAAATGCCATCAGCTCTGGAGGGTTTATCGAAGTGTTTTATATTGGAGGTTTCATTCATGGAACAGGAAGCGGCGGGCGTTATTGGGGACAATTGTAAATTGTAGTCCTTTCGGCTAACGTTGGGCGCCAAATTTCCCAAATCATTGAAATACTCCAGAACGGCATTAGAATCTACCAGACCATCAGAGTTGGGTGTCAAATGTTGTAAATGTTGGCTTATGGCTGACTTTGAATCTGGGTTAGGGTTATCTACCAGACCATCAGAGTTGGGTGTCAAATGCTGTAAATGTTGGTTGGCCTTTGCCTTTGAATCCAGGTTGGGTTTGGCGTTGGGCGCCATTTTTGTTAAGGCCTGGGAATATCTAATATCTTCGTTAAGAAATATACGATCACATGGGTGAGCATTGGGCGCCATTAATGCATTGTCATGTAAGTCTTCTGTGGTTGCGGAATTTTCAAATCCTGGGCGCTTGAAGGATGCTGTATTTAAAATCCAATTCTGAGGAGTGTCAGTGGCACCCCACGAATGCCTCGATGAAGAGGAATGAAATGTTGCCTGGAAATCTTTACTATCGTCTGGAGAAGTTGCAGAGCTGGGACTAGCCACATTGTGATGTAGATTTTCTGATTTAATATTTAATCTAGACAGAAGATTTTGGCTTACAGCTGGAATTGCCGGAGCATCCAAAGTTGTCTTTAACAAAACCTGATCCGAGGTTGAACCCCTCCAATTTCCTTGGGGTAAATTTTGAGCGGCCACATGCAACTCTAGGAGTTTTCTCTGCGCCCTACAGGCAATCTCCCGGAATTTGTTAAATTCTGTAAGACAAAATCGGCAGCTGGCACAGATATAACGAAAAGTTTGCGACCACTCCACTTGGAAAAACTGAAAAATAAAATTGAAAACAAAATAAATTTTTACTTCATCCTCAAGTTGACAGACAACCTACCGCAGGAAGAAAATATTTTTCCACAAGTTTATAAAGCGAATTTGGCTGGCCTTCCAGGCTATAGAGACACTCATGATCACTGCCAAGTACAGAGCAAAGCCGACAATATTCTGGCATTGCTGTCGGGACGAAATGCCAATTTGAAATGAAATGGGCGGGTGCTGTGTGTGCCAGGTCGTAATGTAAATGCATATGTTTTAGGGACAGGTAGTAAGTGACTTTCCGCTTGGAAAAAAATGTGTCCGTAGAAGGATTTTCCCCCGATTTTTATGGATGTTATAACAGGAAAATAAAAAAAATGTGTGGGCCATTCAAGCGAGATGTGACATTTTTTCAAATAAAAGAGTGCTGCTACAATTGGTTTGTAGATGGGAGAGATAGATATTTTGCAGTGGTCAGAAATCCTTGGAGACAGCTCAGGTATATTTTGAATTGAAATTAAATAATGAATCCTTTTTTTACAAAAATGTTTGATGAGGAGAGGAGATATGACCCTCAAAAAACGATTACCAAAAAATTTGTATAAAGGAACATTTCAATTCGGTTGACCAGATTTTCATTTTTTGTCTGCCACTCTAAAACAAATTCTCAAAATTCTTTCAATAAGAGATATCCCTAAGAGAATAACTTTATTTTCCTCAAAAACTCCTATTACCCTAAGAGTTATGGCCATTGAAAATTATTAATACAAAACAAGAATTAAATTTAAGAACTTAAGTATATGTGTATATTTGGTCATAACTCCAGTACTATAATAGATACATCAATATATCCAATTACAAAAGTCAAGAAAATATATGGTTTTCCTAAAATCCGTTTACTTGAGTTGAATACTTCGAACCGTTTAGGAATTATCAGCTCTATAAAATGATTACGCAAAAAATTCAACGCAATGAAAAACAAAAGTATTTATCCATTTTTGCCCATATCTTAGTTACTTCATAAGTTACACCCATAAAGTGCATCAATTTTTTAGAGATAAGTCTTCGTACTTTCAAAATCAGAACATATTTATTTGACATCTTGAATATAAAATGAAGTTATAGGCTCTGGAAAATGATCACGCAAAAAATTTAACAAATTTGGAAACTTAAGTATACATGTATATTCGATCATATCTCCAG